GTGGGATCTTGATTCAGGCTGTGTAGTTCAAGTGCTATTTTAAAACTAAAGTAAATAGAGTTGTAGACTTTAATACTGAGATGCAGGGTGTTGAGCCATAGCTCAGCTCTGTATTTGAACTCCCTTTTTCCATCTTAGCACATGGAAATACGTTAAGGTGGAAAATAGGATTTTTCTTTGACAGATTCCTTTGACTTATGAGAAAAGAAAGAGCATATGCAGGAATATGAAGTCCAGAAGTTGGGGAAAATTCAACCTATTTCTTTCAAAGCTTCATTTGGGAACTTTCTCCTCTCTACAAGGTAACACTGGAATTTTCCTCACTGCAACCTGGAGTATCCCAGTGTCTATGGTTTCTGTGCCCGATACTATTGCATCGGTTGTAGCTTTAGCTGAAGCAACCAAACAGATCATGGTATAGCTTGTATGGTAGGAACCAAGGAGAATTTTCTTTTGATGGGCTCTTCTCTCAGTGCACAACATCTGTGTGGAGGCATGATCCCAAAGCTTCTCAGAGTCAGCAGGAGTCTTTTTGTTCTCCTGGCCCAGGCCCAAGGTCTGAATGCACAATACAGCTCAGTATGTGGCATTTTTTCTAAAAGCCAATAGAAAACTAGGTTGAATGCCCACTGATAATTTTATTAATACTGTTTAGTTATATTTGTTTTAAATTTCCAGGCTACAGTAATTCTCTGTGCAAATGAAAAAATTATCCCATGTTCCCAATTGGCTTGATGACTTTTGTCTGGTTCATTTATGACCCATCCCAGCATGCTCCTTTGTTCTGTTACAATTATTTATTATTGCTGCTGCAATCAGGTTATCTCCTTTCTTCTTTCTGATACCTGATACTCCAGACTTTTTTGATCTCTGGCCTTGGGGAATGTCGTTTGTAATTCCCAAGTGCTGAGTCTGCTGTGGGGAGAACAGCTGTTGTTTGTACACCACCATCGCAATTCCCTTACCAGTGGAAAAACCTATGGTGAGGCAGGAATAGAATATAATTTCTTGCTTCATCAGCCATGGATCACTGTAACTGCCATGAATCCAGTCATTGTCAAAGCAGGGACCGAGAGGGGAGAAAAATGCTGAAGATTTCAGATCAGCAACCTCCACTGCACATTAGCATGTGCTGTGTAACTTCAGGAGCATGTAGACACTCGGCCTTCTGCAATTCCTTGGAAGTGATAGGGAAGCTGAAATTGCCAGCACAAATATTAGAGGCTGTGATTTTTGTTCTTTTGTAGTTGATGGAACCCAACTAACAAAATTTTTCATCTTTCTGTTTATCCACCGTACAGCACCAGAGCAGACATGTGATACTTGCTAGAGGGAAAATTTCTCCTGTGGCTGTCAGTGATAGTGTTTAGCCATCTACAGAGATCATTGCTGGGCAGAGTAAGATGCTACAGTCAAAGAAGCATGTGTATCCTATGCAGATTTTTGCCAAGGCCTCTGTTATAAAGCATTCATACGTTGGTATGGAAGCTTTCCCTTTCTTTTCCTTGCTTGCTCCTTCCTTACTTCTGGCAGTTTATGCTGCTGCTTACAAAACTATGATAAAAGGTTCAGTGACTTTCTGAGTGTTTCTCCTGTATGCAATGATGCTGGGTCTGCCCACCCTTTGCATGAGGTACCAGGAGCAAGACTCTTTAATTGGAGTCAACGGGTAGCTGGTTTGCTACTTTTCTGCATATACTATTATTCAAAATACAGCAAGTTGCTGAGTATGCCAACTACTTTTGAAATAAAGAACATAACTTGTTTTATATTATGTTCACTCTTCAGTAAACAGAAGCACTCTTCAGTATCTCTATTGCTGTTTTAAAAGAATGCCAATTCTGTATCTTACAGATTTAAGTGCTGTTAGACTGACCTTAAACCTCCACATGAAACGTTTAAACATGGTGTGATCTTTTTTACTACAGAAAGTGAAAGATTCTAAGTGATGCCTTTTCCCCTCAAGTGTTTTGTGCACAAATTGTCACTAGTCATTTGACATATTTTGACCTAAGTTTCTATTTCAACGATGTAAAGTCTACAGGCAGCAAGAACAAAGAAGAGCTATGTGCTAAGGAAAACCACACCCTCAGGCAAACGTATTGTGTGTCTACAGTTGAAAAACACATGATCCTATGCTTGGACTAAAAAAATATCTTCCTTTTGCCCTCAAAGCAATTGGCTGTGTTAGCACCTAGTATTTAGAGGCTCAGTGTCCTCTTTCTCTGCTCCAAGTCATGCAGTTGAAGTTCAAGAGCATGTGCCTCAAGACAGTCTGCACATTCAAGCACATGTTTTCATTGAGTAACATGGAAGTTTTGTGGTGGAGGGTAGCGAAGAAAAGCAGCACAGGAAGTGGGTTATAAATGAGAGAGAGTAGTGTGCTTTGAATATCACACAGAAGATGTATTGTTGAGAAGCTAGAAGAGACCCTCATTCACATTTTTTAGGTTGCCATTATCAACGACTGTGGAGATTTTGGAGAAGAGATAAAAGTGTAAAGAGATAAAATAATGAGCGGGTGGCAGAAGACAGCGTAATCCAGCCAGTAAAGCAGCCTGGCTCCCAGTCACCAGCTCATGTCCCTGCCCAGCCCACACACTCTTCTGCACCTGCCCTGTGCGTCCTGGACTCTGTGGCTCCACTGCTCTCCCCTTCTGCACGCTCCACCCAGGGGCTGAATCATGGCTTGAAATAGAAAGTGAACTTTTCAGGAAAGGGTTGTCTGCCCAGGCATTTGTGCCCTTCTCAGCTCAGTGGGATCTTGATTCAGGCTGTGTAGTTCAAGTGCTATTTTAAAACTAAAGTAAATAGAGTTGTAGACTTTAATACCGAGATGCAGGGTGTTGAGCCATAGCTCAGCTCTGTATTTGAACTCCCTTTTTCCATCTTAGCACATGGAAATACGTTAAGGTGGAAAATAGGATTTTTCTTTGACAGATTCCTTTGACTTATGAGAAAAGAAAGAGCATATGCAGGAATATGAAGTCCAGAAGTTGGGGAAAATTCAACCTATTTCTTTCAAAGCTTCATTTGGGAACTTTCTCCTCTCTACAAGGTAACACTGGAATTTTCCTCACTGCAACCTGGAGTATCCCAGTGTCTATGGTTTCTGTGCCCGATACTATTGCATCGGTTGTAGCTTTAGCTGAAGCAACCAAACAGATCATGGTATAGCTTGTATGGTAGGAACCAAGGAGAATTTTCTTTTGATGGGCTCTTCTCTCAGTGCACAACATCTGTGTGGAGGCATGATCCCAAAGCTTCTCAGAGTCAGCAGGAGTCTTTTTGTTCTCCTGGCCCAGGCCCAAGGTCTGAATGCACAATACAGCTCAGTATGTTGCAATGTTTCTTCAAGCCAATAGAAAACTAGGTTGAATGCCCACTGATAATTTTATTAATACTGTTTAGTTATATTTGTTTTAAATTTCCAGGCTACAGTAATTCTCTGTGCAAATGAAAAAATTATCCCATGTTCCCAATTGGCTTGATGACTTTTGTCTGGTTCATTTATGACCCATCCCAGCATGCTCCTTTGTTCTGTTACAATTATTTATTATTGCTGCTGCAATCAGGTTATCTCCTTTCTTCTTTCTGATACCTGATACTCCAGACTTTTTTGATCTCTGGCCTTGGGGAATGTCGTTTGTAATTCCCAAGTGCTGAGTCTGCTGTGGGGAGAACAGCTGTTGTTTGTACACCACCATCGCAATTCCCTTACCAGTGGAAAAACCTATGGTGAGGCAGGAATAGAATATAATTTCTTGCTTCATCAGCCATGGATCACTGTAACTGCCATGAATCCAGTCATTGTCAAAGCAGGGACCGAGAGGGGAGAAAAATGCTGAAGATTTCAGATCAGCAACCTCCACTGCACATTAGCATGTGCTGTGTAACTTCAGGAGCATGTAGACACTCGGCCTTCTGCAATTCCTTGGAAGTGATAGGGAAGCTGAAATTGCCAGCACAAATATTAGAGGCTGTGATTTTTGTTCTTTTGTAGTTGATGGAACCCAACTAACAAAATTTTTCATCTTTCTGTTTATCCACCGTACAGCACCAGAGCAGACATGTGATACTTGCTAGAGGGAAAATTTCTCCTGTGGCTGTCAGTGATAGTGTTTAGCCATCTACAGAGATCATTGCTGGGCAGAGTAAGATGCTACAGTCAAAGAAGCATGTGTATCCTATGCAGATTTTTGCCAAGGCCTCTGTTATAAAGCATTCATACGTTGGTATGGAAGCTTTCCCTTTCTTTTCCTTGCTTGCTCCTTCCTTACTTCTGGCAGTTTATGCTGCTGCTTACAAAACTATGATAAAAGGTTCAGTGACTTTCTGAGTGTGTGTTCCACAAACTGTCTGAAGTCCTGTTATCTTTGCAGGGAAGGAGACCCATGGCACGTGTGTCAGGGTGCTTTTATGCAACTTGACTGTGCCAATAAATGTCTGTGTTTGTTTTTCTCCTATGCTTGGTGTATCCTATGTGTAATGAAGACCACATCAAGTAACTAGCAAAAGGCTAAATCCTAGACTGAAGCAAATGGCCAAACATTTATGTATCTTGTCTAAGGACTGTTTGTGATGACAGAGCATCAGCATTTTCATCCTGGTTTGGAATCAGTCAACTCCAGCCTGTGTGTCTGATCAATAAACTGTTTTAAGTCAGTTACTGACTACATGTTCTTAAAACACCTGGCAATGAAACCCTGATTTCAGCTTTGGTAGCTCTGAATATCAAATTAGGGTAAGATGGCATTTGGATAAGTAAAAAGATTTTTAAAGCTCTCATACACCAGTAACATACAGCCCATTTCACTGCCGTTTACAGTTGTTATTTTCTTTAGGCATTGAGGTTTTATTTATACAGATGACAAATTATTTTGTCTCGAGGGCTGGGTTTTTTCCCCTTTTTTCTGTCAGTGTCAAGGTTGTCACAACCCACATCATGTTTTGCTCATTCAGTCATTTTATATCTCAGACTTTTTTCCTTTTCTTTCCAGATGCAGAGGGAAATGGCTTATACAGGCCGAGATGGCCTGGGTGGCTCCCGCCCTGGGTCTGCCACGCACCCTCCACACATGATGCCCAGCTCTCCACCCTCCACCCCAGTGCCCCACTCCATGCCTCCATCTCCGTCCAGGATTCCCTATGGTGGGGGCCGGCCCGTGGGTGTGCCAGGAAACGCCACCATCCCCCGGGACCGGCTGTCCAGCGTGCCAGCCTCACGCTCCATATCGCCCAGCCCGAGTGCTATTTTGGAGAGACGGGACGTGAAGCCAGATGAGGACATGACTAACAAAAACCTCACCCTGATCCGAAATGAAGGTCTTTACGGCGACCCCTACTTGTTTCACGAGGGGAGGATGAGCGTGGCTGCGCCCCACTCCGGACACCCCCTGGATGTCCCTGACCACGTTGTCGCCTACCATCGCAGTGCCATGAGGTCATCAAGCACTTACTGCAACCCCCCCATGCAGCCTGAAATGCTGGAGCAGTCCTTGTACAGACAAAAGTCACGGAAGTACCCAGAGAGCCATTTGCCCACTCTTGGCTCTAAAACACCTCCCGCCTCACCCCACAGGGTGGCTGACGTGAGAATGATTGATATCCATCCTCACCATAGTGCTCACATCCCCACACACACCCTCCAGCCTGACAGGTCTTCCCCCAGCCGCCAGTCCTTCAAAAAGGAGCCAGGACTGCCTGTGTTTGTGGACAAGAAAGCACGGAGTGTCCTCGGCCTCCCGGGCATGGCCGAAGTGCTGCCCTCTCCAGCTGATGAGCAGGCTTTTGGCTATGGGTCACCTGTAATGCCCAAGGACAAGGAGACCAGGTAAGGCAGAGCTGGAGCTTAATTTATGCAAATGAGAAACATTCCTAATCTGCACGTTTTGTGTCACTTAACACCCACGGGACAATGTAACGTGTAGGAGGCTGCTGCACTGGGCTGCAGTGTTTATTAGCCGTCTATCAAGGTAGTTAGTAATTTAGAGGAGATGCAACACCACCCGTTATTAATCTGAAAGTATTGTCAACCCATGATGAATCCCTAGTTATTTTCATTTGTGTAAATTTCAGTCATTGGAAAAAATATAATAAAATAAAATGATTAACTAGGATTTTTCTTTCCAGACAACCAGATCATGTTGCAAGAACAAATGATGTTCTGTTCCTGCTAATAAGGGAATATATTTCACCCCCGTTAAGAATGACATTCTGATATTGCAATTTTGGTTCTTTATGGAGTGGAGTTTTTCTCATCTAGTTTTAGGAAATGGGAAGAATTTATCATTACTGTCTTATCTCCTGTATAACATGAATTTGCATAAAAATAGGACTGTTGTTTATAATAACATTGCTCAAGGGGAACCTGCTGAGAAGAGCAAGTCTGTCTCAGGGAAGAAATTGAAACATGAATTCTGTTCCAAATGATTTTTCCAGCGTCACAAATACTTGGTGACCAGACTGTTGTTAACTTTTGTGCACTAACAATGATGACAATGATCTCTCCTGTCTTTTTAAGGACCAGATTTATGCAAAGGTCTGTAAAGGCTTCTCCTGCCATAGATAGACCCTTCCCTAGGAAAGAAAAATGGTTACACGGCCAGTCAGCTGCTGTGTATTTGTATGAGTTGTGCTAATCTCTAGCATATTGTTTGTGCTGTTAACTTTTATAGAGCTCTTTAGGGAAGTCAAGATGAATAGCTGGAAAATGCTGAGCTCACAGAGGCCAAAGGTAACTGCTGACTGCCTTAACTACTGGGAAAATACGGAGCTTCGTGTAGCCACCAAACTTCTTTTCTGTCTGAGCAACTCGCTCAGCACTTAGTAGCCTCTGACCATGCTTGGGCAGAAAAAATAATGTGTTGTGAGGTCCATTGGTGGGGAGAAAATGTAGGACAGAAGAAAAACAGCCAACCACAAAAATTACAGGCCTATAGCTTTGTGATTATGTTGTCACAAGTGTGAGTTAGGATATATTGCAATCTAGGCTCAGTGAAACCTGATTTTTATCGACTTATTTATAAGAAAAAAAGATGTGGGTATTGAAATTCCATTTCAAGTTTCCATTATTACAGCTAGGTAGTAATTTGAACTATATTTGCCAATTCTAATCCAAGAGAGAGTTTTCAGATTAAAATTTTACAAGGATGATCTTAGGGGGGTGAAAATAAGGGAGGACACCAATAACTTTCCAGTCTGTGTGACTTTCTCTCTCCCGTGTGGGTATCTCATCTGTTCCCTCAGCTACACAGCTATGCACAAGGCTGTGTATTTGCAAATATATAAAGAGCAACTGTACAGATACTTCTGCAGCTCCTTAAGGGAGGCTTTGCACCAGGAGTTCTTGTCCTGGTCCCAGAATTTATTTACAGTGATGAAAATAGCATTTGCATAATTGTGCTTACAAATAAATGCACAACCTTAAAATTCAGCATGGTGTGTATTAGCCACACAGCACTGAAAAAACAATTCTGAAGGCTGCCCTTATTGTGTGTGTGGTTTTTTAACCTTCAGAAAGTGTGAATTAAAAACATAATAATAAAATTGTAAAAACGAAAAGCAATTCATGCAAATTGGTGTGTTTGCTAATAACTGCAATGTTAAGAATTGGGTCTGAGTTCTGCAGAAACAAAGCCTTATTTTGGCTTTGTAATAATGTCATAAACTTTGAAAGCAAACATGAGATTATACTAAACAAAACAAGGAGCACTAAGGGTACCCAGGCTGAGATGCTCTTTTCCTGTTTCAGCAGGGGATGAATTGTTACAATGTTGTTATGAACACCTGAAAGATGATGTATATAATGGCAGAAAGTTATCCCATATCTTGTTGTGTAGGATTTACGGTTTGCACCCAAAGGAGTACAGCTGGGCTTGGTTCTGTGAGTAAGAATATTTTGGGATTGGGGAGATGGTCCTCCAGGCATGGTAAAATGAAGTGTATACTGCTCTGTTGTGCACATTATCCAATTACTGATGACTGTGAAAAGAGCCTAAAAATCAGGCCACAGAAAAGGGATGGTGGTTCAGTCAGCCTGCATGCAGACAGTATCAGGCGTGGGGTAGCAGCAAAAGGGCAGGTTGAGTATCTGTTAATCTCAGGGGTACTGAGGGAGGCATTTGGATTTGTGCATTGTGACAAGAGAGGCTCCATCCTGACACTCAGGAGTGGATTAAGGACCCTGCAAGTATCAACTCCCATCATCTCAGCATTGTTGTTCTTCCAGTCCCCAGTGGAGTGTGCTAAGAACAAAAAAAAACATCTTTTTTGCCATCTCTGCGGAAATTACCTTGATGTGGCACTGCCACACCTCAGGACAATGCTCAGTTTCAGTCAGAGAAAAGATTAAAATGGGTGGTGATAATGCCCAGAAGTTAAACTGAATCTTCCCTTGTTAGTTCTCCTTCCATTTTTCCAGTCCAGGGCTCAAATGGGATATAAATGTACTTTTATCAGATTTGTTGGATACTTACAGCAAATCAGACCTCTCATTGACTCTCCTGGTTTTGTTGAAGAAAATGGGTCCATTACCTCTGGAATGTTAACTGCAGCAGATTTGAGTCTACAAAAGATGAAAACCAGTATTTCTGATCTCTTGTTTTGGAGTTTCCCATTTTAGTTTGGCATTGTAGAAGCCAGTCTCGTCAAGCCTGTTATTTAAGACAGAGTTAAAGGGGATTAAATTTCTTCATGTAATTCCTTCTTGTATCTGTCTTACCTCAGGTATTTTCAAGTTAGCTATTTCTGCAGTATAATAAATTCTCACTGTAATTAATTTACCAGAAAAATTCTGTATAATGATCTTTTACAAAAGTGAGAAGAAACAAGTTCATAGAGATTTAAAAAAAAAAAAAAAGTTAGTATTCATATACACAAAAATATTAGAATAACAAAAAGCAGGTTGTAGCAGTTCATCTTTGAGTTCGTCATCCTGTAAACCTGATGTTTAGAGGAAGAATGAGTACATTTTTGTGAGTTAGCATGAGTTGTTTAAACAATGATTTGCTATCGTATTTTTTGATGGCCCATTTATGTAGGTCATGGTAGTAACTACAGGCAAAGCAGATGTTTAGATGTTGATAAATTGGAAAAGAAGCTGTATATCTAGAAGTGCATCAAATGAAATGTAATTTAGCTTACATTCTTTGCATTTAAAACACACATTGTGTTGCAATTTTTTGTCAGAACAAGAGGGAATGGTTTCAAGCTGCAACAGGGTAGGTTTAGACTGGATATTAGGAAAACATTCTTCACAGAGAGAGTAGTCAGACACTGGAATAGGCTGCCCAGGGAGGTTGTTGAGGCGCCATCCCTGGATGTGTTTAAGAGTTGTTTGGATGTGGTGTTGGTAAATACAGTTTAGGGTTTAGGGGAAAACTTTGTAGAGTGGAGGTGATGGTTGGATTCAGTGATCCCAAGGGTCTTTTCCAACCTGAATAGTTCCATGATTCTATGAAATTTCTAGGCTTTTTCATAGTACCCAATATTTATATAAGAAATGCTACTAATCACTAGAATACAATCCTTAGAATAGCAAGATAACTCCATAGAACATTTTCTTCTCCAAATATATTTCAAGAGTCTACTGTGGTTCCATTCTGTCTGAACACAAGTTTTTTCCTTTTCTTTTTATTCCACATTTGTGAGAAAAGGTGATGGTAAAACTGAGAAAAAAAATATCACATTTGCAGATCATGGCTTGCAGTTCAAGACTAAAATGCAGTGGCCACATGTAGTTTGTTGGATATTGTTCCCATCACAAAACCACTGTATTGTTTGATATGTTGAAGTATAGATGGAGTCTCAATGCATTAGGAAAAAATTGTAATACTCTGTAAAGCCATGGATAGTTGGAGACTCCATCATCAGTGCTCTGAGAGGTTGTGTAGAAAGGTGGACTTTGAAGATATACCCTCTCAGGCACTTTCCCCAGGGCCAAAACTGCATCTTCCTTTGTGAAAGATGTTTAATAACCTCAGAGAAAAAAGATGAATGCAAATGACCAATACAGGATGGAGAAAAGGTAAATCATACTTCAGCTTCCTTCTGCTGGAGGAACTGTTTGTAGGAAGACAAGGTGCAGGCTCTTGGGTAAGAGTTGTCAAATAGTATAGCAGCTGACAGTGCTTCAGGGCTTCCTTTTCCTCTTTTAGCTTCAAGCTGTAGAAAGTTTGAGTTTAACCTTCCTAGAGGATTGAAATATTCACCTGTGTGAATCATTCCCTTGGGAGGAGAGTGGAGTACAGAAGAGTTCTGCTGATCTTTGCTTCACACCCTTCCAGGATATCCACTCTGTTGTTTGGGGGGGATTTTGAGGTAAAGTTTGACTGTACTACTTTCACTTGGTTCTAGGGAAGCCACTGGGAAAGACAATCTGCTCCTATTTCCTTTATTTTCCCAGTGTGATAAAAAATACCTAATGAAATGTTTTTCTCATAGGATAATATAGAAATAAATATATTTTTGTGATCTCTGACCCTCTTTTTGATTACTATACAGACATCACTCAGGGTTTAACTCTGAAATATTATGAAATATGAAGTTACTTAAAATCTTTCTGCAGGATACTGTGCCAATTAGTTCATGGTGCCAGACTTGGTATTTGTGTATGTCTGTTACGGATGATGTGCTGCACAGCCTAGGGTCAGACAGGAGTATGAACAAACAGTTACACAGCCCAGATGTAGTATGAGTCTGTACTTAGCATCTTCTCAGTGATGTGAATATTAAAGATGTCCCCAGGAAAGGGAAGGAACATGCAAGTCAGGCTTAAATAGAATCGCTGTGAGAAGCAGGTACCAGTTCAGCAATACACTGTACCCTGCTTGGGATTGCTTCCAGTGAATTGCAGTAGAAGGAATGACATGAAACCTCAGTGAAGCTGTAAGGAAGGTATCTTGTGGTGAAATCTGGTGTCTCAGTGCACAGACCCTGGAGAAGCAAGGGCTTGTTTTGGTTTTGCTGAAGGTGGGGAACTAGATGCTATGGCAGAACCCCAGTGCCTGGACATACCCGAGGCCTGGCGCTGTTGATGACGTTGCCACGGAGAACAGGACTTGTGAGCAGCCCGTGCCTGCTTTGCTGGCTAAGGTCTGTGACAAGCCAAAACCAAGTCTGACAGAGAGGCCTGCTGGAGCTGAGTGTGACTTCTGACCTTGCCTCCTCCTTTCCTCCCGACCATGCTACCACCTCTGACTCTCCCAGCATTCACAGGAAAACAATGTGAAACAATGCCTTTCTGTGCTCAGGCTGATAAAATAGCCATTTCTTTCCCAACTGCTGTGGAAGGGACCCTCCCTGCTCTTCCTGGGTGGTGGAGGGATGCAGATTTATCTGGGAAATTAATCTGGGAACAGAGACGGGGTTTGGCCTTCTCATGCTACCACTGCTGGCAAAGAGGCACCACTGCGTTTTGTTCTGTCTGACTGTCTCTCCTGGTGCTCCATGTCTTGGCCTGCCCTGTGCACAGCCTGCCCCATGTCACTGGAGTGCTGCCCTGCCATATGCTGTGGGGTTCACCAGACATACCCGAGGCCTGGCGCTGTTGATGACGTTGCCACGGAGAACAGGACTTGTGAGCAGCCCGTGCCTGCTTTGCTGGCTAAGGTCTGTGACAAGCCAAAACCAAGTCTGACAGAGAGGCCTGCTGGAGCTGAGTGTGACTTCTGACCTTGCCTCCTCCTTTCCTCCCGACCATGCTACCACCTCTGACTCTCCCAGCATTCACAGGAAAACAATGTGAAACAATGCCTTTCTGTGCTCAGGCTGATAAAATAGCCATTTCTTTCCCAACTGCTGTGGAAGGGACCCTCCCTGCTCTTCCTGGGTGGTGGAGGGATGCAGATTTATCTGGGAAATTAATCTGGGAACAGAGACGGGGTTTGGCCTTCTCATGCTACCACTGCTGGCAAAGAGGCACCACTGCGTTTTGTTCTGTCTGACTGTCTCTCCTGGTGCTCCATGTCTTGGCCTGCCCTGTGCACAGCCTGCCCCATGTCACTGGAGTGCTGCCCTGCCATATGCTGTGGGGTTCCCCAGCCTGCCCGTGACACCAAAGCGCCAGCCTGTCCTGTGTCCTGGGAAGTCCTGCCTGCCCCTTCCATGGTACCCCAGGAGGGGATGGTCGGGCAGGCTGGTCCCTCTCCACAGCAGGGATCACAGCAAGAGATGGAGAATAGAATGCTGAGAACCAAAAATGTACAACTGTCATGACAGTGCCATCATCCCTGATAGACCTCGGCCTGGCACACAGTGAAGAAAGTGTTTATTTTTTCCCTTGGGACTCAAGGTTGCTCCAGCCCTTCACAGGGAAGCCACAGGGCAAGGGGGTGGCTGCAGAGCCTGTCCCTGCTCCTCTGGGACCATGCAGCAGTCATCAGGATTGGGCCACCAGCCCTCCAGCCATGTCAGCCCATGGCACGTCCCTGCTGCTGGGCCACTCGTGTCCCTCCCTGCCCACAGCTGAGCTTGCTGCCTCCCACTGCCTTTGGTCAGGCTGCCAAAAATCAGGTCATTTTATTTAATGGCTAAAAGGCGCCTCCTTTCAGACACCTGTTTTTGAAATGTTTGGTGCTGATGGTCATAACGAGTCTGAGTGTTACTGTGAAATGATTACAGGAAAAATCCTGCCTTGTCTTTAACAGAGTAATTCCAGAGCACATGTAGATTCGTCACATTCTTAATGCTTTTACCATATGAAAAATAAATGTGCTCTGTGCAATTGATTCCAATATTTCATTCGTTTTTCATCATCTTCTATCTCTGGAACATCCCTCTCCTTCTTAACAACATATTTTCCTAGATTTCATGGCAAAGGACAAGATCAGCTTTGTATTGCCATAATCTTTTTTGAAGCAGAAAATTGTTTCCAGATTATCAAATGTGGGATGGAAAAAACATCATATTTATGAATTGGTTAAACAGATAGACTTGCAATTGAGTTTAGTTCCAGGAAGGTTTTGTGATGATTATCTGGGGGGGAAAAAAAAAAAAAGTAAAATGTTTTCATTATTAAGTGTCAAAAATGTCAAACTGTATTAAAGTTTGTTAGAATATATTTATCCCAGGCTTTTAGTTTTTCTTTTCGGTCCAAAGGTTACTGTAGCCTGAACCAGTTTCTTATTTTAAATCCAGTAAAAGTGGAAATTCTGTAATGTATTTCTTGGTTTGAAATTAATTAGGTCAGATTCACTAGTCTTCTCATCACCGTTCAAAATACCTTTCAACATGAAGACAGAAAAGTAAGACGCGCATGCTGTACTAAATCGCAGTAAGAACTTGTCTGCTGGCTGGGGACTGATGGAGCACATTCTTCTTCCCTCTTTGTGTCTGTTAACATCTCATTGCTTGTTTTGCTGCCCTGTTTTCTCAACATCTGGGTGTCTTGGATTCTCCCTTGGCTATGGTATCTGCCTGCTATCCCAGCAAACCTTAGTTTCATTCCTTGATGTGGATGAAGTAATTAGCCTGGGTAATATTGCTGGCTACAGGCTGGGCTTGTTACTTGCTTAGTGTCATGTCAGCTTGCTATTTCCTGTTATTGGTACCTACATGTGAGTTGATATGGCCCTTGTTGACTGGTGTCATTGCTTTGGCCACCAAACAGCAACTGGAGCTGGGGGTGGACAAGAGCTCAGCTGCTCCCAAGTGCCCAGGACACCACAGTGGTGATGGAGGGCCCCTGCTGCAGGCTGAGCCTGAGGCTGGGCACATCTGTCCCTTCTTTCATCAGTCATTGCCGCTGGTCTTAGTCACTTGCTTTTTGAGAAGTTTTGTTTCCAGTCATCTTCCAAAATTACAGCCTGCTGTTAGCATTTGCTTTTATGTGTCTCCCCACTCACTTAACTGCTGGCATACAGGGATGCAGTTTCAGAAGTTGCTGTCTGAGGTCCCATGTTGATGTCTGTGTTGTGGTGTGTCATTGACATATTGGCATGTGAAAGTAGGCACCTCTGTGAGCAAAGGCTGTTTTGGAGCCCACAAAGGAAGTCACCTGGTACCTGACTAATGTACATTCATGTAAAAAGATAAACACACAAATGTCAGCCTTTCTATCAAAAAAGTAGTTGTTTTGTGGCCTTTGGTACCTATGGAAAATACTGACCACATCTGTTACAGTTTTGGTTATTTTAATCTCTTTTCTTTTCTTCTGCTTTTCAGACATTTCTCAGGATATATGCATGAAAGCAAAGCTGTTTTGTGATAATGTAGTTTTATTTGGTGTCCTGTGCCTGTCTGTCGCATTGCTGTCCTTTCCGTAGCAGTCAGTTGCAATGTCAGGTGCAAAGGATTTGGGCTGGGAAGCAGTCAGCTTTTGCAGATTAAATGCTTCACAGACAAAAATCCTGGGTTTGGGGAAAGTAAAAATAGTAACAGGAAGTGTAAAGTCTTTAATCCTGAAACTTTATACGCAGGCAAAACTGTTGGCCCAATGTAGGTGAGAGAGAAAATATATGTAATGCTGAAAAAAAATATTTTCACTAGTTCCAAGAGGCATTCACTGATTGTTTTAGATGCCAGTCTTCTGAGATCGTCAGAAGTTTATTATCTGGGTGGTTGGTTGTTTTGTTCTTTTTTAACCAAGCAGATGTCTTTTTTATTTTCTATTACCTTGCAAAAGCTGTTCAAGCCAAGATGTGGTAAGCTGCTGCAACAAGGTATATGCCAACTGATACCCATGGGCCTTTGCACAAACTTGGTAGCATCTCTCCAATCCCGTGGTAATCATTCACCTAGAAAAACGAGTCTGAAAGCAAATATATCTGGCTTTAACAAACGGTTCTCTTGTCTTACAGAGAGAGGATACAAGCCATGGAGAAACAGATTGCCAGTTTAACTGGTCTTGTTCAGTCTGCGCTTTTTAAAGGGCCAAATACAAGTAATAGCAAAGATGCTTCTAGGTAAAAAAAGAATTCATTAAATCTGTTTCTCTGTCATTATTTAAGTAATCAATCAACAAAAATAGTATTTGAATGTAATAGTAAAAAACCCTGAATGTTCAGTCATTTAAAAATATCTTTATCATCCCCATGAGAATGCTAGGCAGAGAGGAAGAATATGGCAAATAATAGGTGGATATTAACTGCGTTACTCTTTGTGTTAAAAAGAATTAATGTAACTACATCTCTGTGCCTTCTACCACTTATACTCAATTCCTTGCTTAACTTGTGTTAAAAGATGATTTTTAAAAAACAAACAACTGACAAGCTACTGGTGACATAATTTTAAAATATATATGCTAGACAAGGCCATTTAATTTGCTGATTATAAACTTTGCTACAGTTTTATTGTTAGTAAATTAAAATTATTGGTTTTCTTTTTATTACTTAGTGAGAAGATGTTGAAAATAGTGTCCAGCAAGAGCAGCGTTGACACTGCAGGTAAGATAATTCACTTTTAATTTACAAATTATTCAGGTATATGAATAGCTCTAATGTTACTACCATCCCAGCTTATGGAAATGTTAAATTTACCTAAATTTCCATAGCTGTACTATCAGAACTGAAGTTTAAGTTCATGATATGGGAATAGATCACACCTTTGTTTAGAGAGGAATTAATGACAGCTTGAGGTGCTCTTTGGAAGGAATTTCACACATGCACTGAATGGTTTAAATGAAATGCAGAGTCTCTGCACATGGTGAATTTTCCAGTGACTCATCTTGTCTGTAGTATATGTCTGTCATTAACCCCAGATGTATCCAGGTTGCCATAGAATGGTAAATATTTCATTCTTATTCTGGTCACCTGAACTTTTCTCTAAGGTTCTTCTGGATGATATGGATATAATGACTAGGGTATTTAGCAGTCAGTGAGATAACACTTTCCCTAATTAAGCTCTACTGATCTGTTGCTAATTATTAGTCCACACCTAAACTGTTCTGAGGAAGCATCGGTTATGAAGCCACTAGGAGCTCTTCTTATTTTAGCTTCCCACTTAGAGAGCTGTTAAGTATTTAAAAGATGGAACTAAGGCTGTTGTGAAAGATCTCTATGTGATTGGAACTCTTTGTGTATGGGCTGCTGCTGGAGATGGCTTCAGGGTGTTCGCGGGTTTATATGTCTCCTCTTCACCCTTTGTCATGCACTGAATGCAAATAAAACCAGTTCCCTACTTCCTGGTACTGCTGTTCCCACAGGGATGTCTGTGCTCCAGCAGGAAGTAAACCACACATTTATTAGCAAATCTATTCTACTCTTAACAAGCCTTTCTGTTGGAGTTGTTAGTTCACATGCAGGATTCCTGTTTGTCTGGAATTGAAGTATGTCCTCTTAACTGACAGAAATCAAACCAGACCTGGAAACAACCAAGCACATGCAAGAGGAAAAGAGCTAAAATCCTGGTACTAGAGCTTTGCTCCCAAGCCAGTCTCTGGTCCCATTCCAACTCTCCCCTTCCTGCTGGCCCCTCGATGGGGAGAGCAATACTTAAGCCTGGGAAAAAATAAGTTGTAATTTATCAGTTTCAGACAACTCACTGAAAAGTCCACCATTTTTCAAAACAGCTGAAAATGCTCTTAGATTTTTCCCTATTTCAGTATCATTATACACTGAGAATTTATGGTATTTCCGACTTGCACAGGCTCCATCTCATACAAAGCACTATAAAACCATCAAAACCTGCACACACATTGTCTTGTGTTCCTCTTTGTGTTTTGTTGCTCTTCCACCTTTCCACTTTCACTATGCTTGTACTAATTCAGATAAATACTTTGCGGGGTCACAAAACTGGAGATCCTGATCTAAGTGGTTTCTGCTTTCAATGGGCGCTTGGACCAGATGGCCTCCAGAGATCCCTTTCAACCTAAATTAACAAGTCATTTGTGTGTGTGTGTGAATGTGCACTCAATGCAACGAGAAATGGAATTATGTTTATTGGGAAAATGGCCCTGCAAAAATTGAAGGTGGAGATTCCTCAGTGTGGAAATCATGCCAAGCCCACCAGAGTAGCATGGTTCATCTGACCAGCAACCATTTTCTGCCACTGTTGTTCTCAAAGACTCCTCACTCACTAGCTGGTTGCATAACTAAACACATGTCCCTGAAATGGCAAAACTACCCAACACCCGCGAACATCTCCTGATAACCCTACCCATCATCCCTTTCTGCCACTGTTGTTCTCAAAGACTCCTCACTCACTAGCTGGTTGCATAACTAAACACATGTCCCTGAAATGGCAAAACTACATCCAGCAGCTGTATGTCCAAGCATGGGGGGTAGTAGGTGGGGAGTGTAATTTACTGTCAAAAGACCAGATCAGCAACTGTCACATACTGATAGAGGCACTGACTGTCACACAGCTGTGCCCTCATCCAGCATGAGAGTAAGGGTGCCAGCATTCAGGTTGTGCAATAGATGCCTTTCTGATCACTTGGGAGATGAGGACAGGGCAGTAGGGCCAGCCATGCAGCCAGCTCTCTGCAGGGATTGTTATCAGTGCTATAACTGAAGTTTTAACTCCAGCATCTGCATCCCTAGATCCTGTCCTTCTGGCATGACTCAGCCACAGAATTAAATTTTAACACAGAAGGGAAACAAGGTTTGATGCTGACCCCAATACAGTACACTACTGTAACCCACATCAGCTATTATTGAAGTGCAGTATAACAGAAAAGTCCTGGATAATAGACTACTTGGCTTCTGCACCTGCTTTTGGATTTCACGTGACAGGGTCTAATAAATCAATGCGGTCTCTGCTTGCTTGAAAATGAGGCAGTCTGCCAGTGTATGCTACAGAATGCTTTTCTATTTCTGTAACTATACTTGGGTTTAAATGTGCCAGCAGCACCCAGGAAAACTTCTGCTGACCACTGTTTTGTTCTTCGATTCACCCCAATCCTTATTAAATATAGCCATTTAGACAGTTGACTGTCTTAGTATACAATTCCACTTGACAACTGTGCACTGAGATACTAGTTTTAGCGATTTCAAAGTCTATTTGAAAGAAAACGTGGTATAAAATGTTGATTGAGCAGTCCTTTCTAGAGCACTGATAAGCAGAAACAGGAATTGCTTCCCATCCTGAACAATAAAACATCTGTGCAGTATAAAATTGGCTCATCAATGTTGAACCAACATTGTATTTTATAGTATGTGTTCCAATTATAGGGGAGTTTAATGCAAAAAATAGAGAACTAGCTCACCTGGGAAGGGAAAGAAACCAACATTTCTAAATCCTGGATAACTCTACATAGATAGATTGCAAATGCTTTGGTATTTCATAGAAACCAAATTGTTCTATTTAACATGTTTTTGCATTGTCAGTCTGTAGTGGATTCTTTAGACTCAAATATTAAAGGACCTAAATAAAAATGCTTTTTCACTGGGGAAAATGAGCCTCCAACAATCATGCTTGTCTGTATTTCTTATGTTTTATGGCTCTAGGCTTAGTTCTTTTGGAAGGGTTTGGTAACCCTCCACAAACTGGCTATGTCTCCTCTTTTAATGCTAGAAGAAATCCCATGACTGAATCCTTATAACCTTCTTCAATTCATCAAAAGTGAATAGCATCAAGGGACTCTTCACTTAGGAACAGCATGTGACTCTAAAACCAAACCATAATAGGAAGAGTCTCCTTGATATTACAAACAAATATGCTGAGAAATGCTCACCATCCCTCTTTTCTGTCATATTTTTATTCATCAAGTGGTAAGATTGATAGGCTATATCCTGGATTCATTGATTAAATTGAGATCAGTTGTGTCATGGAATGCCAAAGAAAGCAATAGTTCTTTGCTAGTTGCTGTCTTGTTGGAAGAGGAAGGACATTTCAGTATTTCATGAAAAGACATCAAGGAGTACATCTTTCTGCACTGACACCACCAGTGCAAACCGAGAAAGGGAGATGGTAGTAGGGTGAAGTATGACACATGTAGGGCTCAGATTTGATTCCTCACTCTTTGTGAACTTTCTTGTCATCTGTGCATATTTATGTGCCTTTTTCACATGCATGACACTTGCTTTAATGATCTGTAAATGAAAAGTATTGTGCATATCAACTTGCTTACATCAGATTCAAAGACAGATCATGCCAGCCTTTGAATTCTGTCAGTGTTTCCAGGTAAAATGTGATCCTGAATACATCTTGAGTCACTGAAGTGAAGGTGTGCACTAATATATAAAGAATATTTTATTATTTTAAGAGCGCCTGGCGATAACAGCTTGTTAATGATGGAACTGCAACCTTAATATTTCATTTGCCTGTTTGTTTAGTGGATTCTAACTAGGTGGAAAGAGAACTAAGTAACTGCTACATGTGTCCCCAAATGGTGTTTGAAAATGTTGTGGCTCTTTAATAAGGAGATGAGTAATTTGTGAATAATCATTGCTGGGTGTCTTCTGATGGCTTTTTTTCCTAGCCTGCTTTGAAATAAAATCTTAGTGTATTAGAAAGAAAAATAAAACCTGGAAAACTGAAGGAGAATGGTGTCTTCACAATCATAGCAAAGGTCAAGTGTCAGGGAGTGGAAGTTGTGTTTCTTACCTTCCTGAGCCTGGTAAATAGCAAACCTTTCTCCTTGCTGTACATTAGTTCTATTGTTACTTTAACTAAGCTGTAGTGGCAGCTTAGTTCATTAACCTTTGTAAAAAAAAATTAAAAAAAAATAGTTAATATTTGGGTTTTGTCCAGAGTATTAGGGAACTATGGAGGGTTTTTGCATTCAGGCCCTCTTACCTAGCTCTAGCAAAGGCTTATTTAAAAACCTGAGAGCTTTCTCTTCAATCCATCTGGCTGCACATCGAATTGCAAAGCTACAGCCTGGGGCTATTTCCAAAATTATCTATACTCTCTAGATGAAGCAGCCCCTCATTCAGCTGCCCTATTATTCCTTTTTGATGAAAATATGTATCTCTGAGAAATCAGCTGTTGATCCTTACTGCTCCCCCATGCTCACTCAGTGCCTGGGATCGTGTTTTACAGCCTTGGGTGTCCCAAGTCGTGCTTCACAGGCTCTGACACACTCTGCAGCAGGGGCACCATGGCAACTGAGGGTACCTAACAGTAAGAAGAGGTGGCCAAGGCAGCAGAGGAGGAGGAGAGCTCCTTTGTAGGCAGTCAGATACATTTATTGTTTACAGAAGCAGATCACAGTCCATCTGCACTAAAAGAAAGCAGGCACTCCTTCCTGAGAAAATATGTGAATTGACTGAGGTCCAGCAGGGGGGGAGAGACTGGCGGGGACTGATTCATGCCTTGGCTGCATCATCACAGGGTCGGGGGCTGAGGTTTTGGAGCTTTTGCTTCAGGCAAAGAATAGCAAAAAGGTAGATGGGCTTTCAAAAATAGTCCAGATTTGTGTCTAGGGATAAGAACTCTTGGAGGCTTATCCACATTTTTCAGACTCTCTGGTGAATTCTGTCTGTATGGTTATGAAATAAAAACCCCTTTTCTTTAAGAAAAGATGCAAAAAAGTAGTGCACGTGGGAGGGAAATAGATGGTTGACTGTAGGAAAAACTGCAGTGTATATGTAGACAGATTAGTATTAGCATATATTAGACTGAAGCATGGAGTGGTTACAGAATGACAGTGATCAAGGACTGTTTAGTTCTTGAGTGTTACATTCTGTTAAGCAGCTCTGAAAGTCAAGAGAGCATTGAATCATACAGGAGTACAGCAAAAGTGAATTCTGTCTGTATGGTTCATGAACTAAATACCCTTTTCTTTAAGAAAAGATGCAAAAAAGTAGTGCACGTGGGAGGGAAATAGATGGTTGACTGTAGGAAAAACTGCAGTGTATATGTAGACAGATTAGTATTAGCATATATTAGACTGAAGCATGGAGTGGTTACAGAATGACAGTGATCAAGGACTGTTTAGTTCTTGAGTGTTACATTCTGTTAAGCAGCTCTGAAAGTCAAGAGAGCATTGAATCATACAGGAGTACAGCAAAAATGTACAGCAGCTTGCTCAGCAGTGAAATGAAAAGTGCCATTGTTGAAGCAGAGTAGATCTAGCTGGAGCCCGTTGAGGTGAGCTATAGCATTACAACAGTCAGCACCAGGCTAGAATAGCTTTTTGTTTGAGGATGTCTCTGAAAGCCTATGGCATGATGCACTACATATAACATGGGCACAGCTAAGTGTGAGTAAAAGTGAGCCTGTGCTTTTACTGACGGGAATTTCAAATGTAGGTAAAGCAAGAAACATGATTCTTCAGAAACCTTTTCACCTATTTTTAAATAAAAATAGTCTGGCATGATTTCCATCCTTTAAAAATCCTTTGCCCAAATGAAATTTGCAAAGGCTACATTGGACCTATCCACACCTGTTGGCAAAGGAGTAACTGTGTTACTGTGCTGAGTTGTACTCACTCAGGCACATATGGAGACTTGACTGGTTTAAAAGACTGCTAGGGATGAGAGGACAGGGGCAAAACTTAGCTCTCTCGGGTTCATACTCATTCCAGCCAGAAAAATTGTCATGCCCTTTGGTACACTGAAACTTAGCCTTCCAACACTAGTTTCTGTTTGAATTCATTGAACTTGGCAGAATGTGTGCTTGTGGGAAAAAATGATGAGCAAAATCCTTGTGTAGATCTATCAATGAGTAATTTTCTGTTTCCTCAGATTTTCTTATTTATTCAGAGAGAAGGAAGAAAATGAAGTGGGGAATGATGGGGTAATCATAGCATAGAATCAATGTCATGTAGGTTGGAAAAGACCTTTATGAGAATCGAGTCCAACTATAAACCTAACACTGCCAAGTCCAGCACTAAACTATGTCCATGAGCACCACATCTCCATGCCTTTTACTTCCAGGGATGATGACTTGAGCATTTCCCTGTGCAGCCTGTTCCAATGCTGGATAACCCTTTCAGTGAAGAAATTTTTCTTAATATCCAATCTAACCTCCCCTGGTGCAACTTAATGCCATTTCCTCTTGTTCTGTCACTTGATACTTGGGAGATGAGACCAACCCCCACCTCGCTACAACGTCCTTTCTGGTAGTTGTAGAGAGCAACAAGGTCTCACCTCAGCCTCCTTTGCTCCAGGTTAAACAACTCCAGTTCCCTCAGACGCTCATTGTAAGTCTTTTTATCTAGACCTTTCACCAGCTTTGTTGCTCTTCTTCTACATGCTCCAGTACCTCAATGTCTTGTAGTGGGGGGCTGATAATACAAATGTTGAAGGAGCAGCAGCCACCTTGAGCCCAAGGGTCAAGGTGGGTCTTTCCCTGTGATCAGAAGAGTATGTGGGGCTACATAGTGCTGGACTTAGAAAATGAAGTGTGTCCCACTGGCAATCCGTCATTATGCCTGTTGGCAGTGGGGAGGGGAAGGGACACATTAGAAATACAGAAAAATATGGGTGTGTAAGTACAAATTGCTAAGGGAAGCTGTAGCATGACTATTAGCTGGTGAACTAGAATTTGCTTGTACACTGTAAATAAAGCTTATCCCAGGTACTTGAGACTGAAAAGAGTAAGCTTGACATTAATCCTCTGTAAAGGAACAGCATTATTGAGCAAAAGAAGTGTTGTGAGGACAGTGATGGTTATTCTCAAGGTGTGGGTCAGATCACTCCCTCGTGTTGCGCTGTGTTCCCTTGTAAACACAGTCCTGAATAAATGGCACACTAAAGGAAGTGGGTGGATGCAACATGGCTGGAGAGGAGTTCTCTGCCACACCATCATTTCATTTCTCTTCTGCTGGTTTTTATAAAGTAACTGTTGGAGACACCTGTAGAAATAATGCAGTTGTACTTGAAGCAGCAAAGCAAGATTTTCTGTAGAATCCTTTACCCCAAACTTGGCAGTTTGACTGTATCAGTCTCTCTAGTGATAATCATTCAACAACTATGCACTTCAGGAGTCCTGTAAATTTGCATCAGCTTGGTCTCAGATAGCTCCTGGGAGATCAGTCCCAAAGGCGCTTTCCACACCAATTTGATGTGCTGCTGTTTTGTCTAATCTGCAGGTATAGATTAGTATTCTATATCCACTGCATGTGGTAGGAAGCAGTCTTGTGGTAATGCAGTGCTCTGATATGGCTGAGGTTCCAGCATGGATACACTCTGGTACTGTGCAGTCTTTCCTCAAAATATATTGTATAAGAAGGTGCCAGTTCCCTGTTAGTACTGAGCAGCTGTAATTTTCTCTTCTTGTCCCTTGGTGTGAAGTACATGTGGATTCAGTGAGCAAAGGAATGATCATGTTTGCACCTTCTCTCTTGGTGAGCTCAACCTCTGCTCCTGCTTTTGCAGGCACTGTCAACGTATCTGGGGGGAAGAATGTGTTGGCAACGGTGGAGCCAGCTGCCATCCCTCACCCTGCTGGAGCCCCCTCCATGCAAGTCAGCCTGCATGGCATGAAACGCAACGTGTCGGATCTGCGGCTGCAGCTGCATCAGATGAAGCAGCTACAGGTATGCTCATCTGGGTACTGCCAGGAAAGTGAGTAGTTAGAAAATCCCTTCTCTGCCCTTCCCTCCCCTTCTCTTCCCTCTCTCAGTGTAATCACTGCTGCTCAGACACTGAGAAAAACTTCCTTTCTCACTTTTTTTTATTGCTCTACAAGTTAAAGCAGTATTTATATTAAAATAATATTATCAGCGATTACAGTTTGAACACTGCTATGTTATGTGCTGTATAAACATGTTAGAAGAGCCATGTTCCTGCTCCATACTGTTTACAGCTGAGACAGTTTTTAAGTTCCTGAATAAACTTTGATGTTAGGAAACCCAAATGTAGCTGAAGATCCATAGATATGCATTAAGCCAATGTTTGAGTCTTCTATTTACAGAATCCAGAAGGATAGCCAGCTTGAACAGCAAGGAAAAAAGGCATTTCTAAAGTTGCTGCCAAGGTTTATTGTGCCCTACTTATATTTCCATTTTACCAGTACCTTCCTAACATTCATCAACACCTCAAAACCTGCAGCAGTAAGAGCAATGAAGAGTTAACCTGAATATTCTGTTGATACATACTGTCATGCTGCAAGTGTAAATATATACTGTTCATCTCAGACACTGTGAAAATAAGCTTATGCAGCTGTACAGGTCTTCAGCCCTTCACTTAATTGGAAACTGAAGAGCACTGTGTAGTGTCTCAGAAGACATAAAAAGAGGTAAAGCAATTCCTTGTAAGAGAAAGGGGACAGCAGGGGAAACTTCAATAGTTTGCCAGTGCTTCTTGTCTGGAAAGTGACGTCAGATGTTTGGTATTGTAGAGCTGCAGCTACTGCTATTACATCCAGGGTGGTTCTGAATATGTGAGCAGTACTATGTCAACTGCTTTGATTTGCTTATTAATTTTAGAACAGAATAATGACAATACAGATCAGAATTCAGAGCACACTTTTTCTTCACTTCCTTAGCTAAAGGAAATTGAATTATGAACCAGTCACTCCTGTTGGCCACGCTATTCCTGATGCAGGCCAGGATGCCGTTGGCCTTCTTGGCCATCTGGGCACACTGCTGGCTCTTGTTCATCCAGCTGTCAATCAGCACCCTGAGGTCCTTTTCCTCTGGACAGCTTTCCAGCCACTCCTTGCCAAGCCTGTAGCATTGCATGGGGTTGTTGTGACTGAAATGCAGGACCTGGCACTTGGCCTTATTGAACCTCATACAATTGGCCTCAGCCCATCAATACAGCCTGTCCAGGTCCCTTTGTAGATGCTGTGACGAGGTCCTGTGCTCACTTTGCTGGTGATTAAGAGATGGCAGAAGGTATTTGGAGCAAACAGTTTTGTCAGCTAGGTGACCTCTGCCTGTGATACTGCACACGTATATTTACATTTTCAATTTGGGATGGGTATGTTCTGTTCCTTATAGCAAATGCATCTTTCAAAAGCTGTTCCCATCAGTGCTGCCTACGTGCTGGCCATCATAGTCCCCATGTAATGCCAAGACTCTGGCTTGGGATCTCTGCCTTGGCACATTATGTTTAAGTTCATTTTCCTCCACATTTGTGCCACAAACCATTGCAGCCACTCCGTCCCTCTGTAACCCCATGTGCCAAATGCAGTTCTTGGCAGATGCCTGCAGTCTGGACACTAGTGGTGCTCAGCGTGTGGCCTGGTAAATTAGGATAGAGGTTGTAATGCTGCACTAGAGACAGCCAGTGCATCATTCTCACCAGGCCTGCTCGCCAAGGAGGTGGCATTTCCCCAGCTGCACCTTGTCTCCACAGCCCTGCCTCGGGCAGTAACCTTCCTTTTAATCAGATATAGCACTATGGTACACAGGAGTGAAGCAACTTGTACCATCTGCACAATTTAATGCTGCCAAGGAAGTCTAGAGAAGGAAAAAAGGGCCTATCCTGCGTGTGCTCGTTAACTGGCTTCCCTTACTTCAGAAATAATATCAAATTTGGTGCATGGTGCCAGTAGAAAGTGAGCAAATTTGTGATAGTAAGATGGAAGAACCTGTAGCTCGAGGGAAACTATGTTATATTACATATAAATTAAATTAATGAGAGTGAGTTTATATCATGGCTTTCCTGAATGGGTGCAATGATTTCTTTAAAAGATCTCAAAGTTTGTAGGGCAGCGAGTGAAGCAGGTAGTGTGTTAAACTGCAGAGTGTTGAAGTATCACAGTTCTAATGAAAAACTTTTGTGCTGTTTTTTTGGAAAATAAAAGGAAAAAGTATTTTTTCTGTTTTTCCAGGTTGTTTGCATAATATGTTTAAGAGTAATTAATATTTTTCACTTCTGCTGTTTCTCCTGGGTTGGCAGTTTGTTCCTATTTGAGCAACCTTTTCATATAGTGACAGGCTAAAAGAAATACTTCTAAAAACTGACAAAGATGGTTATGCATTTACTAAAGTTGGAAGGATAACTAAGACACAGGAATAGGACATAAAACTAAATTTAATACCATCTATGGTTCTTTTTTCAGTTTATTATGTCACTGGGAGTTCTTACTCATTTTCTTAATGGAATCAAAGAAACACATGATGGAAAAGACCTTTTCATTCTTGTAGTTCTTACCTGTGCTGGCAAAATAATCTTTTTAATACTTACTCAGCAGCAGTTGATTCAGATGTGTTTATTCACACACCAGTTGAATGTATGTTACCAGATGCAAGCAAAGACTTAAGACTCTTTCAGTCTGTGTTTGGAATTTAACCAGAGATTCTTGAAATAAAGACATTTGCTTGATGGCTGTTGCTAGAGGTTAGATGCACTTCTTGCTACTCCACTAGCACCTTCCTTATATATTGTATCTAGATGGATGGATGGATGGATGTACACCAGATATACTCAAGAAAGACTAGAGTTTTCCTCATTGCCAAAGATATGATATAACCCAGCCTGTGTCCTGGACTCATTTGTTATTGGTAAGACTGGAGCCCATGATGAGTTCAGTGAGGTGGCTCATTCTGCACTCTCAGATAATGAGAAATTCAGTGGCAGATTTGAATTGAGCCTTAGAGTATGTGTTCAAGGAATATATCATTAGATTACATGTGCATTGGCCATTCCTTCCTTTCTTTAATTAAACAAATTTTAAGGGAAAACAGATATAATGAAGGTTCAGCATTAGAAATGTGTATGCATGCATGCTTGCCTGTCACTCAGTGCATTACGTGCAGGAAAATGAGTGCTGCAGAAGGGACAGAAAATGCAATAATAATGCTGTCATAAATGGTACATGATAGTCAGTATCGCAAGTGTAACTTTTCATTAGAAATTCAAATATGTTTTGATCTGCATTATAGAATTGGTGAGGCTACATTTAATCTATGTATGGTAAGAAACTTCAAGAGTTAGGTAATTAGATTCTGCAGAGATTCTGAGCTGCAGTCAGTCCCTGTTTGTAGCTGTGCCCTGTAGTGTGTGGGGGGGTGGGTGGCCCAGAAGCCTCTCCCAGCAGCACACGGGAGGTTCCCACTGGACAGGTCATGCTCATCTCTTAATGAGAAGCCAAGCTGTGAACTAATACTTGATTTTCCAGTTACCTGTCTCATAGATAATAATTGGTTCAAAATGACCTAAACTGGTTACCAGATTATTCTTGAAATGGGTGCCACAGACAGTGCTGGGGTACTCGTGGGAGAGCAGTAACATGCTCACAGTAATGTGAGATAGATAATGGCTGGAGAAGTAACCAAAAAGGAGGACAAAGTAGGTATCTGGAGAGATTAGTGAGGCTGGGATCGAGATCCAAGGGTAATTAACGTAGGAGAGAATGCTAGAATTCTAAAAAAGCATATTTAATTTATTTCTGTTTGATTGCTGCTTGCAGTTACAAGTCAGGTTAACTCTAATTAGCAAGAAATTGCTATTTGATAGTGACAGGAAAGCTTTTCCTTAACTTTTGGCATTTGGTAGAGGTGATTTGAGGCACAAATGGCACTTAGCCTAAGAGTCTCAGATCTGATGCTTGCTGGGAAAAGAAAGAATCAAGTTCAGTTCCAGAATGTGGAGGTAAATGTGCTGTAGTAGCCGGACACTGCCTCCTCTTCCTCACCAACTCTTCCCCTCTGCTCCTGCTTGCCCTGCCTCATGTCCTTTGGCTGACTCTGCCCTGCTTAAACCCACAATTACTCCTTTCCCCTGGTTCCTTCTCTTCTCTCACTGCACCCATTGGTACTTGTACCTCTCAACTTCTATCTGTGTTCCCCAAGCATGAGCAAAACCAGGTTCTCCAGAACTAGCCAAATGTTGCATGTATTTCCATAGAAATGGCAACAACTTCTCTTTAATACCAAGATGAGTAATTTCCCAGACTTCAAGGGCTCATTCTAAACATTCAAGTATTAAAGTTTGGGAGTCATCAACATACAAACTTTTTGAAATATTGCTGAATTATATTTTTATTCCCTAATCTTGCTACCAGAAATGGAGAAAGTTTTATGACTAAAACCTTCTAATACTGTTCAAGCACTGCATAAACAGAAGTGACAAGCAGCTTAGGTGTAGGTGTCACTATAATAAATATAGATACCCTATATACCCCCATAGTACAGAAAAAAGTGTAGCTGCCATTGCACAACCTCACACGCATACTTAGTTTTGGTATTACTGGCAGTCAGAGTTATCAGCTGAGGAACATAGAGAATTTCAATTCTGGATACCTGAGATATAAATCTGACTCTGTTCCTGATCTTCTCACTGACTTCAGGTAATTTTTTTCATATTTCCCAAGTCACTTCCCCATGTCAAATTTCCCAAATTTTTAAAGAGCTGTGAATAAACTGTATGACTGAAATGCTATATGCTTGCTCACTCACTCATTCATGTTTCCTTCTTGAAAATATGGCACAATGTAAGAGATGTGTGTCCCAGATTGTTGGGCTGGCCTTGCTCTAAGAGGTCTCGTTGTCAAACCCAGATGTTAATCCCATAGTGGGGAAAAATATACATACGAACTGTCTTCAAAAGAATCCACCCTAGTTTAAAGCAGCTGACAATGTTTATGAATCTGTGCTGTGTCAAATGTTTTCCAGCTTCATTTTTCCCCTAACTGCTAACACTTACCTTCAGATGAATTTTGAGCTAACACCTCCTGCTTGTCACAGCTCAGACCACCCTACCCCCCATGCACTTTAAGTGAAGTGTTACTCTCTGTCTCCTCACAGTTGTGTTTCTGGAGAAGGCAGAATCAGGCACAAGGACTGAAGAGATGGGGAGGGGACAGTTGAGTTTGTTCCTCTCATTCCCATTCTGACTGGAAAAAATGACGTGGGCAAAGGCTTTTGTTTTCTCTTGTTGCATTATACTGTCTTGTAGGTAACCCATTTTTGTGATTCTTCCTATTAGGCAGCAGTTTTATTTTTGCATGTTAAATGTGGTTTGGCTGTTAAGCCTGGATGTTCAAAAGACAGCTGATGGCTCAATTGCTAGTTTTAAAACTGAAAACTTCTCCCAAATGACATGGGTGTGGGTTTTTAAAAAATCTTACAGTGTGAGAAGGCTGCTGCACTAACAGAGTTGTGTTCATGTTGCCTGTATCCTAAAAATGTGACTAGATGGAGCCCTGCTTATCACTTAGAATCTTACGATTTGCGTAAGAGACTTAAACAGGTTTGGTTTGTCTGAGTGTGAGGCTTATCTGCTCTAAGGCTGCCCACAGAAGAGCATTGCCTAGTTTGCTTTCTTAGCTGTCTTCTGCTCTGCGATCTTAATATCAGTGAGAAAATTAATTCTTTAGATACTTAACATAAGGCTAGGACAGGAAAGAAGGTGAGGATTTTACACTTCTCAAGAAATTACCATATTATGAAGAGGATTTTTTGGTGGGTACAGGAGGTTTTTCTTATTGCAGATGAGCTGTAGGTCTGTCCCAAATTACACCGGATGGCAGAACCCTTCCTTGGCCACTTAAGAGACTGAAGAATTCCAGTGCGTTCCAGTCTTGTCATTAATGTGTGGGATTATCCAGCAGGCATGTATGGGCAGTGTGATGCATGAGCTTGCGAGATACGCAAAGTGGAGGTCAATCTTCCGGCATTCTCGAGGGGCCCGATTAATTCTTGATTCATACTGGACTGTGCAGATTTAAGGGTCCACAATCCTTGCAGAAGTTATGAATTGAAGGTGCTGTACTGATCCCAACAACTTTTGTTTGTGAGCTCACAACTGGCAGGTAGAAATACGTATGAGAAGTTAATCAGATGTAGGCTTTTCTCACCTGCAGCAGCTCCTCACTAAATAATGTTCATAGGTAAAGAGAGAAAGAAGGTAAAACTCTTTCGATGTAGGGCTGTGTTTATCCCAACCCATTTCTGAGCTCTGTTGCCAGTGATGTCAGTCAAGCAGGAAAAATTAAAGTTGATTTCTTTTGTGCAACAGCTGCAGAACCAGGAGATGCTGAGGGCAATGGTGAAGAAAGCAGAGATGGAAATCAATGGCAAAATGATTGAAACAGTGAAGAGGCTTGAAGATCCTGTGCAGCGACAGCGCAACCTGGTGGAACAAGAAAGACAGAAGTACCTCAACGAGGAAGAAAAAATTGTAAAGAAGTTATGGTGGGTTGAGAAACCTCTTAGAATTGGTTGCCTTTGCTTGGCTTTTTCTTCCATAAAGTAGTAGCTTTAGTGAAAACTTGAGTATACTAAGCCTTTAAACTAGTAAAACTTAAGTGAAACTGCTCCTGTGTATACTGTTTTATCTGTGTTTCCTTGCACTCATATTGGCTGTAAAACTGTGTCTGTGTTGTCCTGTCTGGGACATCTAAGAACAGGCCACTGGGTAATTTTTAGCAGTGCAAAAAGTTTCAACCTCTTCAGAATTCCCCTGTAAAGGACCGTGACCCCCACCATCTTATGAAAGCCTCCCCCTACCCTAGGTCTCTCCCTTCAGCTTTATGTTTCTCAAAAACAAATGGATGATGCAAAGGCATCTAAAGAGTTTGGCTTTAAGGATAAAAATCAGATTTGAACAGGAAGTGCTTTCACTGTTGCATGGGAGAGGTAGGGGAAGCTTAGAAATAGAGGATTGAATTTTGATTGCAGTCAGCAATGCCAGTCAGTCTCTGACTAAAATTTACTCACTGGGATTCTGTACACTTAACTGCTGATAAAAATACTTTGGTGTTTTTTGTTGTTTTGTTTGTGTGTGTGTGTGATGTAGAAGGTCTTTGTAAGAATCTTTTTTCCCAAAAACTTCGGCCTACCAAGACTGGTTGGATCTAGTTGTTTGTTTTAGTCCATGTTCAGAGTCAGCAGGCGGCAAAATGAAGCTGGAATCAATAAACAATTTAAATAATTCTAACACTCCCATGTGTAGGATGCTATATAGCTAATTAATTCTCATTGCTGCATTTAGTTCACCCCTGAAGAATTGCTCTATTATAGAGCAAAACTTCATAGTCAGCTTGTCATTGGAAATTCTGATCAAAGAACCATAGGAGTACAGATCTTGACAGCTAAGGAGGGTAAATCTTCCCTGGTGGTCAATGCCCTGCTACATGAATAAGATTTGTAATAAAATTGGTGCATCTGTAAATACAAAGCAAAATGTCACTAAGGGAGTGTATATTTTCTGTAAGGCTAAGTTTAATGAGTAGTAATAGTCCATGCTGGTGTATGTATTCTTTTTGGCTCTTTGGTAGTCTTAAATAACATTGTCTTGTGGTCTTAAGTAATTACCCTCTTGTTCATCACTTTATTCCTGTGTACCTCATTGCCTGTTTTCTAGATGGCTTGTTCTCTGTGGAAAGAATAATTTGTGTGATGGCTGTTTATCCCATTGCCTCCTAAAATGGATACTGAGTGAGGTCAAGTGCAAATGGCATTAGTTGTTACAGCTGTTAATTCAGGATACAACTTCAATTGCAATATGGTTCTGTTTTATCTGTTTGGCATTTGTTCTGTTTGCAGTTTCTGCTGCTTCTGTGCTATTTCATGTGTTAATGTTAGAGAAAACTGTCTGTCTTAGATCAGTCAAAGGCTGTGTTAGTTCAACCCGTTTAGAAACATGCTAGAAACAAAACACTAAATCACAAACAATTATTTTGCATTTTGCAATGAAATTTTGCTGTAATATATTTACACAGTTGCAGGATCAGAGCCCAAAAGAAGCATCACATCCTACAACAATGCTTTAAGTCAAACAGCTGATTGCTTTTACTAGTGAAGAGTATACATCACAAAATTGCATATCAACTATTACTGGAAGCATTCAGGAAAAGGTTAACATTCCATATAGGCACTTTCAATTAAGCTGATCCCAATGCAGATGTATAAATAAATGCAAAGTAACAGGGCAAAAAAACCTCCTGTTTTTTCATCTTTCAACTGGTGCCCTCTTGACCTTTCCTAAATCATAGGACTAAATCAGCAGACTGGCTTCATGCTAGGCAAGAGAGCTTAAGGATTTCTGCAATACTTACAAAAGTGTATTTTCTACTCTTAAGTGGTAAACTCAGCTTAAAAAGCTCTCCTTTCTGCAATTATGAAGATTATCACTAGGCAATAAAAATAAAAAAAAATATTTAAAAAGTATTGGTAGTTTCATGTTATAAAGAGCAGAAATGTCAGTGCACATTTCAGAGCAATTTTTCTGTTGAGTTTCATGATGGAGGCTACAGAAGTGTGCCATGTGTGTCACTGCTGTAGCAGGAATATAGCTCCAATATATCTCATGAGATCTAAGGAACACTGTTAAATGTGGTGTTTATTCACATAACAGTGAAATACATACTCAAATGAGCAGGGTTTTTTTCTATCTAGTCTTTTGAGTCAACATTCGGGGTGTCATGTATGACTCTTGTGGGGCTGAGGATACTGGCCTTAACACTTACCAGGCCAAGGACAAATTACGATGATATGACACATGGACTAATGCAGTATTTATGTTGTGAGGAGCATATTACAGGTGTGACTACTAAATGTAGAGATTATTGTTAAGCATTTTAACAGAGCAGTGTTTATAAGCATAGTATTTAAATTGTAGCCACATCCAAGCTGATTGGATATAATCCATAGCAAGTTACAATTTTTATTTTTGTTAGGAAAAGTATCAGACTTTGTAATAAGAATAGCCATGCTCAGTAAAAACAGAACTCCACTTAGCAGTCGTGGGAGCCACTGGTAGTAGTTACTTGGGAAAGGATATAAGAACATGGCAAAATGCTCAGAAGGCATCATCTTGCTTTTAATGACTTGTAGCTCAGGGATTTTCCAGGTCAGAGATGGTATCTTCGTACGCAGAAGCTCTGCATGGACTGTTTGCTTTTCATTAACTTATGAATATTTTAAAATTTATGTAAACTTAGTTATGTAATGTACATCGTCTAGGCAAAATGAATTCTGCAGGGTAATTCTTTTTTGGGTAGAAAGAACCTCTTTTGTTTGTTTTTGAATCTTTCATCTGTCAGTCAACTGCCAAATTATTAAATTATGCATGGCAGAATATTCACCCTCCGTACTAGTTGTTATATTAGAGATGCTCCCCCACTCCATTTTCTGATCATGCCTTTTCCAGCCTAAAAAATCCTGGTCTGCTTGTTACTCCTCTTGTAGGGGCCACTCATATGTCATCATGCCCCTTCTAACTCCAGTGTACATCTGTGAGATGGGGATGGGGAGAGAAGTGATCCCTGCAAGGGCTCTACCTGGTGTAGGCACACCATGACTTCATGCTGTGCCGCAGTGATGCTCTCTCTGCTCTCATTTTCTACATGAGCTTTCCATTACAAATCAAACATCTCATTCACTAGGGATGATTATCAGTTAAAAGTTCATTATTGTGTATAAAAACTTAGTTTTTGGGGAGGTTGGTTGGTTTAGGTGCAGTTGTTTTTGTTTTTATTTTTCCTCTTCTCATGAGCATTACTTTACATTTATTGGGAGTTTATTTGATCTTTTTTTTTTTTTCCTGGTCAATTAGTATCAGATGGTCCACCTGCAGCCCTCTGCAGTTACCTTTCATTTTCATTCCTCTGAATAATTTAATATCTTTTGGGGGTTGTTGTTGTGGTGTTTTTTTTACTATACTGTTCATCCTCTTTCCTAAATAATTTATAATATGTTGAAAAGCATCAGCCCCAGTGCTGATCCCTGTGGAACCCACCAGCAAACTACATTCATTGATTAAGCTGTTCATTGATCCCTTTACTTCCAGTACTTTATCCGTGAGAGAACTAGCTCTCTTGTCCCATAGCAACTTGCCTTTCTTGAAAGCTTTTGCTCAAAAATCTTGCTGAAGGCCTTTTGGGCTGTAGGTTTTGTCCATGCTTTTGTTGTTTCCTTGTGAATGTGTGAGACTTACCTTCCCTTTGCATAAATCACATGAATTTCTCCCTAACACAGCATATTTATCCATTGGTCCACTAATTCTTCATTGTTTCTTCTTTATTTGGTATCTATCAATTATACTAGTCTGGGTATCAGTCTCACCAGAGTCCAGTTCCCTGGATAGCCCCATCCCCTTTTAAAAAATCTATTTGTATCATCTATGACACTTTCCACTACTCCAGTGCCAAAGCAATTTTAATCAGGAAGTTAGATGCTTGGCATTAATAGTTTAACTGTTTCACCCTTGAGTTGCTATTGAACTCTGGCCTGGGTGATTCGTTGCAGCTGATCTTGTCGGTTCACATTGTAACCTGTTCTACTGATACTGCAATCTGAGACACATCCTCTGTTGCTTTTTTGCCTGAGGAAAGATTTCAGCATAAGAGCTTGCCTCAGCTTCCCCGTGTAAAACATAGATGCAGAAAAATAATTTATCTTGTGTTAGCCTTCTGAAACTGCACTAAGGTGAGGATCTTGTTAAATGGGTTTGTTCAGTCCAACCTGTAAAGCCAAGTTGTTTCCCCAGTTACAGAACAGAAATGCTGGAGCCCTCTGCACTTGTTTCTAACTGTGGCTGCTGTGGGCTGAAGTTTCTTTTCCCCTGAAGTTAGTGACATGAGACAGTGTAATACGGTATCCCTTGAGGAATTTCAGGATGACTTGTCTTGTTTGATAGTGTCACACATGATGACCCTTCCATTTCTGCTCAGTGAACAAAGGGGAAAGACAGCAAGCTGTTGTCAACTGCCTGGAAGACTTTCATTTGTTCCCATGTTTCCAACAATCATAAACCTAACAAAAGATCATAACACCGATCTGTGTTTGTTCTTTTCTCTTCTTTCCACCCATGAACAAATTTAAGCTCTTTTTTGTTGCCTGGTGGATGCCAGTATCTGAGAAGCTGCTTTTCCAGTGCCGCTCTACAAAAGGTTAGGGGCAAGGAGGTTGGGGGGAGGGAAGTGGTACCCTGTGATCCCCAAAGTAGCACTGCCTACCCTGAGTTCTGGTATCAGGGCATTCAGAGTAGGAAGGATGTGTGACTGGAGAGGACTGTTCTGGAGGGCAGGAGCCTTTGCGTTGCATTGAGTGACAGAAAGCAGAATTCTTTTTCTTGCTCCTATCTAGACTGTATCTGTGCCCTTTATTGCAGAAGTGGCAGACACAGGGACAGCAGATACCTTCATTATCAGAGGTTCTTCCACAGGAAAAATACACTGAGAAATGTTCCCTTGCTGCCATCGTGTGGTCCTTTGGATTGTTTGCTGCAAGTATGCTTGTGAAGTCTTTCTCAAGGCAGAGTGTCTGGGAAAAGTGGTCTTAAAATGGAAACAGGAACATTTACCTCTGCTGGTTTGTGATCTGTTCAGAAGCAACTTAAGATTCTTAATTCAAAATTGTTTTATACTTTCTGTAGTTCTTAGTCTTTGGATTGAAATGATGTTAGGATTCTGCTATTACTTCTGTTTCTCTGTATATCAGAAGTACAACTGTATTGCCATTTATTGTTCTGTGCTTCCACTTTCAATTGACCTAAATGCAGAATGGTGCCACAAGGGATTTTCTCCTTTTCATCCTGTTACTGGCCACATACTCCTCTCTTTTCTTCCTCCTGTTTACTATCTGTGGAGATGGATCTAGGATGTGACCTGGCTGAAAAGAAGTAATTTTCTGCTGGGTTTGTGTGGCAGTTCTGGCACAAAGAAATGTGTGGAAATAGAAGACCTATGGTTGGTGCAGAAGGCAGTCTTCCTCTATCCTTTTCCAGGCAATCAGCCCATATCTTGGTTCTCTTGCAGTAATTGCAAGACTGCTTCCTGCATGCAAGAAATGAGGCCCAAAATGAGGTTAAGATGAGTAGCTGATTTGTCAGCTGTCCAGGCTTGAGCCAGGATGAAGGCACTTTTCCTTTTACTGATTTTTTTTTTTTTTCCTTTGGTAAGCTTTCTTTTAACTAGCAGCAAAGTGTTCCAGCTCGGGCTGATAACAACTGGAATGTCTTTGTAACTGCTGGGTCTCCAAGGTCACATCTTTACTCTGCCAGCTGAGGCACTGCGGGGAGATCTATGACCCACCCTCCCTCCCCGCCCCGTAGGAGGCTGAGTTAGACAGACAGCAAAACTGGCCAGAGATATTCCATTCCATACATCTACGTAAGCTCAGAGGAAAGTGAGAGGTCACAGAAGACAACTTCTTTCCTGCTTCTTCTTCTTCTTCCCTTCTCCTCCATCCATGGCCGGTGTCTGGGGAGGACTCCGTCCATCCATCACCATCGACCCCCAGGCTCGAGCTCTCCTGACCCTCATCACTCTGTGCTCTCTCCAGCACCTCTGGGATCCTTCGGGACTCAGCTCAGGAGATGCTGTGGGAGTTGCTGGTGCTGGAGGAGGCGAGAGGCTTTTGCACATTCCTGAACACATTTGTATATAATTATATATATTTTCTTCTATCATTAGTGTTTAATTAAAGCTGTGTAGTTTAGTTTTCAATCCAGTAAAGCCTCTCTTATTCTCTCTCTCCTTCCCTACCTGGGTGGGAGGAGGTGGGGATTGAGAGCATTGTTGTCAAACCTGAGTCAAACGGTGACATCAGTTCATAGTTTGCTTTGCATTGTTTTCTACCATGCAATCAAACTCCTTCTCAGAATATTCCTGTTAGTAAATTTGGTATCTTAGTAGAGGGAGATTTTTCTTAGGATAAATACTCAATTATCCTTTTGATGTATTTGCATGGGTGCTTGTATAGTTGTACATAAAGCATTTCAGGTTTTTTTGAGAAATTTTTAAGCTTCTGTGTGGAAACTTCAGCTAAAGAATGTGGTCTCAACCTAAATGGAAAAGAAGTGGCTATCCACAAAACAAAACTAAAGTGTATGTGTCTGAAGGATTGTGAAAATTTAAGTGTAGAAGCACTGGAAAAATATTGGGAAAGGTGATGAGGAAGCACCAGATGGAGCCAAAAGAAGCATGAGACTGCACTTGTTGGAGAAATCATCTGAAGTGACTCATTCTTGAATCCAAATGCTGAGTGAGAGTTGCACACAATGCACACTTGCTGGTTTGCCTATTGTGGAAACAGGACCCTGTATCCTGTGTAGCACAACCCAACAGATAAATAGGACTGCATCAAGGGCCATTAGTGCCAGTTTTTGGGTCCTTATTTCACTTGTGGGCATCCCTCTGCATGCTATGCATGGTGCAAACCAGTACTGGATGTAATGGTGCAGTGTCTATACCCTTCTGGGATTTACTTCCCCAAAGGGCTGCCTATTAGATGTGTTTCACCACCCCACTGCTCCTTTGTAGTGATGCTGCCCTGAGGTAAATTGTGCTTTGCACATCTGCAGCCTGTCAGAGAAATCAATGACTTGAGCTAGTTAGGAACATGTCCCGATCCTGTGAGCATGAGTACCCAGCATCCTCACCTTCCCTCAGGGTACCCTGCTGTTCTTTCAGCCTGTGGTGTCAGATTTAATGACACCACGATTGAGGTTTCTGGTTTGGTTTAGTTTAGTCCATTCATTCCGATATATTTGATTATAATGTGAAGGTCTTGCTTACATTTTTTGTCAATTTTTTGTTTTGCTAGTGAACTGGAGGCATTTGTTGAAGACCTGAAGAGAGACTCCGTTGCTTCCAGCAAGACAGTTACACTGAAAGATGTTGAAGATGGAGCCTTTCTTCTACGTCAAGTGGGAGAAGCTGTTGCCACCCTGAAAGGTATGTACTTCCTTTTTGAATTTTTATTCTTCTCTTTTAACCACAGTGGCTGAGAGCAGTTTTGCCTTGGATCTGGGGGCATTAATTTAATGTCCAAAAAGATGTAAAGTTTGGATTAAAAACCTTGTTGCATGGCCCCTGGGGAGAGGTAGACACTCAAGTATTGAACATGCACCCCATCATCCATTTCTCACCAGGCCATTTATATTCTCCTCTTGAGCTTCACAGTTTTTCTCTTCCCAGGAGAGTTCCCGACACTGCAGAACAAAATGCGCGCGATTCTCCGGATTGAGGTAGAAGCTGTGAGGTTCCTGAAGGAAGAGCCACACAAGCTAGACAGCTTGCTGAAACGTGTGCGCAGCATGACCGATATCCTTACCATGCTCAGGAGGTGAATTTTAATTTTTTTTCTTCAAAACTAAATAATTTCTTCAAGCAGGGCTGGAACAGCTTTCAGGTTTGGGTTCTCTCCTTTTCCTTGGGCAATTCTGAGAAATGCAGCTTGTTTGCAGTGTTTTGTGGATTCTTCCTAGAGCCCTTCTTGTCCTCTGTGCAGTGGTTCTCTTCTGACCAATAGCCCTAGTTGTCAAGATCTTTTGGTTGAAACTAGCAGCCTCTGAACTCAACACTTCCAGATTTGGGAAGTACCTGGATGGGAGAGCTTACAGAGTGGCATCAGTCCCATATTTGAGCTAATTGATTGTATGTATTTACAGCAATCTAAGCTAGTAGAAATATTCCTGACACTGAAATGTGCATCCCAAAAAATGCAACAGTAAGAAATAAAATAGGACAATATTTAAAATGGATAAAGATATCCTAAACCATCTGAGAGAAAGAAATGTTTTCCAATATGCTTGTGAATTCCTGTGAATTCTTCATTCTGTTCTTTGCAAGGAAGGTGTGTTAGAGAAAGTTGAAATAATAGATAAAATTTGTGTCCAATAAGTGCCAGGGTTTATCTGTGTTTGTCAGAATATGAGCAGCAAATGACTGTTGATGAAGCAGTAGGCATTGTATTTAATTCCTACTTAAAACTAGTGAATCAGGCTAAATTGTCAATGGTGGTGGTCTCAATTTTACTTCAATTAAAAGAGAATGTAAGTTATAAGCCCATTGTTGCTAAGGAATGTAGGATTTTAATTGTTTCCATATATTAATAGGTAAAAAGGATTTACCAGTACTGGCAGATGGATAAAATGTTTTATGTTACAAGTCTTCTAAAAGCCGTCACTTATTTTGCCATTAGGTGCACATCTATATAATTTCATTTTAGCTTCCTTTTCTTAAAAATGACTACAGTTATTTCCTTTCTCACCCTCTTTGGGGTGGGGGAAAAAAAAAAGAAGCTATACATGCTGGAGTTTTACCAAAAGTAATTCTTTGCAGCAGAATTAGGTATGAAGCCTCATAAAGTCTGTTTAAGTAATGGAAACACTGATGGCATTTGATGGCTAGGTACACACAGAAGCTCAGGCATTTCACAGCTAGCTGCCAGAAATACTGGCCTCTTTACATCCTCAGCTCATTCTACCCCAAACTCTTGACAGACAGGGCCTTTGTGAAGTATCATTTGAAGGCTTTGTTTTGGCAATTTGCCAAACTGCCACCTCACATTCTGTGTAACTGCCACTTTCTGTGCTAATAGTTCAGGAACATCTAATTCAGCTAGGCATAGCATGTGAAATCTAAGGGAACTGATTTCCATTCTACCTGTAAAATCAACCCACTGTAACTCATGGTTTAGTCAAGAAGTGCCAGTATATCCATGAAGGTTTATAAACATTTAAAAAAGCAAAAGTGCCCTAGTTAAAGTGGCCTCCTTAAAACTCTTAGTCCCTGACTCTGAGACAGAGTCCCTGTTCTCTGAGAGAGAACTATAAAATCACACAACTGGGAGTATCAGGAAGAAAAAAATAACATTTTCATGGTTTAGATACAGGTGTTTTTGCCTTGCTAAAGTTTATTGTTAATCATTGCTCATGACTTGCCTGTATACTAACCATGTGCCATGCTGTTGTGTTCAATTTGACTGGGCAGACATGTTACAGAAGGACTGCTGAGGGGTGTGGATCCATCCCAAGCTGGGCAATACCCTCCTACAGAAAAGCCCGCTGCAGCTGACGCTCTGAAAAACCAGGAGGAGCTCAAGCATGCCCAGGGACATGCACAGCAAAGCCTCACATCCGAGTCCCAGGTGTCATCAGTCAAGTCGGAAGTTGTCCCCTTCTCAACAATGACGGTCCACCATGTGCAGAGCTCGCCAGTTGTCATCCATCAGTCTCAGCACTCATCAGCCCTGGTCAACCATGCCCAGGGTTCACCCACTGCCGGCAGCCACAGCGAGGGTGTGCCCGTGGGTGGCCACCTCCCAGCCACCCCGCCAGCCCCCCCGCAGGAGCCTGCAACAGGCTCCCAGCCCACACAAGCCTCGCCAGCACCACAGGCCTCTGTCAATGGCACCACCATGCAAAGTCTTTTCATTGAGGAAATTCACAGTGCAAGTACCAGAAGCCGAGCAGTATCAATCGAGGTACGGGGTATTCTGCTCAACCAGTTGTCCTCTCTTTGTGTCCCAGCTCCCAGTCTGTCTCTTGAGACTGCAGGTGGGGTTTTTCAGATGCATTCTGGGGATTTATATGTTTAACCATTAACTGCACTGTGCACTTCTGAAGACATCCTCCAATTTTAAATGCAACAGGATAAAAACAAGTAACCAAAATGTGTTTTCCAAATAACCTTTATTAAAAAATAAAATCTTTTTTTAGAATACCTTATTTTTAAATAACAGCATATGATTCTCTGGCAACACTTGCATCAGTGGGTTTCATTCACTCTTTAAACTTCCAGATCCCTCATTATGGAGTGGTAAAAGTGAAAGAGTGTGAAGTTCCAATGGTTTCACATGGAGACACTGAGAAAACCCACAAGTGAACTCTCACATTTTATTCCAGACCTGCACTTTAATCACCAGTGTGATACAGTGAGGCAGTGAGCCAGTTTTAAATTTTACCTTGGTTCCTTTATTGAGCAGTGGCCACTGTCAGTCTGTCATGCGTTTGTGCCATATCAAGCACAATGGAAGTCAGAACCAGTGTACAATTCATGTTAATGTATTTCCTGTAGTTGCTGACTAGAACTGAAAGAATCTATCTATATTGACCTATAATGTCTACACATGGATTTTTTGTTTTGGTCATAACAGAAATCAGAGGAATAAATTAAGTGCTTTACTGTTTTTGTCTAGAAAGCTGAAAAGAAATGGGAAGAGAAAAGACAAAACCTTGATCACTATAATGGAAAGGAATTCGAAAAGCTCTTGGAAGAGGCCCAGGCCAATATAATGAAGTCAATTCCTAACCTGGAGATGCCTCCCCAGCCGGCAGCCCTGCCTAAAGGGGATGCAGTGGAAAAGCTAGAAGTCGCAGGTAAGGTTTACTAGAGTAAATGTAGCCAGACAATTGCATATCTGCAAAAGAGAGGTTATTTTTCCTACTTTCTAGAATGGCTTAGTTTACAGATTTCTGTCTTCTTGATCATACCTGTGAGAATGTCCTTGAGGAATAATGCAGATCCTGCGGACTGGACACTGATTTTGCAGATGCCAGTGACAGGAATCAGCTGTACATGAATTTCCCCATATTGCAACTGAGAGAGTGAGTGACTCCTCATGAGCAGGAGAGTAAGAATGCACCTTGTTTTTGACAGAGATGAGAGTATCTGTCTACTATGCTATATCTATATCTGTATCTAGTGTACTATGTTCAGTTTTGTGTTACAGAGAGGTCTGGAAGGAACCACAAGGAGTTTAAGCACAAATGATCCTACCATCAGAAGCCTAAAAAGCTCTTTTTGTAGGCATATTTATTATCACAAGAAGAATAAGACATGCCTGAGATTTCTCAGGATGGGGAGGCCTTTTAACTGAGCAGAACATACTCTGACAAGTTCCAGCAACTGGGAGCTAGAAAAAGCCACAGTAAAAATTAGCTGCTAAATTTTAACATTTAGAGTAATTAATCACTGAAGTTCCATTGTGAACATGTGGGATTCTCTGCCACTTCAAATCTTTAAGCAATACTATGTTTCTTTCTGAAAGGCTTCTTGGGCACCATGATGCAAGACCCACTTAAATACTTAAACCTTACGAGGAAACTCAGAATATTTTGTCTTAATGGCCCTTGGTAACTTCATAATCTTAAACTATAAATACAACTAATGTTTTGCATAAGTCCCTCAGAGGACTGAAAATGACCTATGATGCTACATAGCTGAGTTTTCCTGGAGAATTGGATAGATATGTAGGAATGGATGAGGGTGACGCTCACAGTATGTGTCCTGGCTGCCCACAGTTATGATCTAGATGTACCAAGTTTCAAGTTGATCTTAAGTCAAACCCTGACCATCTCCTGGAGGTCTCAGCCTGCTCTGTGGGCTCCAAACTGCACACTTGCAGCCTTTCTGATCTCTCCATGTAGGCCAGATGCTCCCTCCCCAAGGTCAGTTCAATTGCCCTTCTCTAACTCCGTTGTTTCCTTCTGCAGCTGTAGAAACCAGAGCTGCATGCTGCACTCAAGGTGTTGGCATCCTAAGGTTGTAAGTAACTGCAAAACAATGTCCTGGGGCTCATGTACACAAATTCATATAGAATTTGGGACGAGTATTTTCAGAGCCAGCATTTTGTTTTAGGCGCTCTTTTAGCACTGGCAGCTTGTGGCTCCTTGGATGTTTTCACAACATACATGTTTAAAATAAATTCTGTTGAACCTCATAGAATAATTTTAGAATTCTGGCAGAATTCAGTGAGGTTACTGGCTATCAACAGAATTTGTTTGTATAATGTTTGACATAAATAGAAAATGTCAGTGAAAATAAATACCATATGGGAGCAGTGAGCTGTGACATCTTAAGAAGTGCAGAACACAATAATAGAGAAGTTTTGTAACTTGCATAGTTAACTAATCCACTTCAAGAATACAATTTTGCATAGTGTGTAGCCAGCAGATTTAAGGAGAAATTTGATGAGCATGAGACATTTGCCTTCTGTTGTGCATAATGAATCCTGTAATTGTAACATAAATAAGGGAACAGCAAAACTTTTCCTTGATATCTGATTAAGTATCTCACATGCCACTCAACTCTTCTATGATTCAAGATGAAAATTTCAATATCAGTCTGCTGTAGAAAGAAAACTGAGCAACATAAAGAGAGGCCACATACCTACTGATATTGTACATAAGACGTTTTGGCCATAAATTAGCAGAGTCCTCTATTGGCTTTTGTGCAGAAGCTACATAAATCATGTTGCCGGAATGTGTTGTCTCAGCCATTCTCCACACAGAACCCAATTAAGAAACTTTTTTTTTTCCTGATGCAAAGCACAAAACAAAGTCAAATTGCACACTTTACACCATTTTGCAGTTGACTCTGTAATGTCTTGACTCTGACTCATCTTTGTTATTAAGATTGTTCAGTGAAAAATATGAGGAATGTCTCTCACATGTACGTTAGGAACTGGACTCCTTCATCTCTCTTTGTGCCTCCATATGTGAGAGTGCCCTGATTTTTGCAATTGCTGTGTGATCAGTAGCTTAAAGCTACATTAAAGAGGGTTGGCTTGTTTGACTACAGTGGCTGCCTCAAGGCAGACATTATTGTTTTCAGATAATTTTAACACATGTTGGATTTTTTTGGTGCAAGTAGAAATTTGTACGGTGAGGGAAATTAATTCCAATCTGGCTGTGCCTGTTGAAGAATGCTTCAGTGCAGTGAAATGGCTGGTGATGAACAGCTCCTGTTTTGTTCACAGAAGCACTGAACCCTTTGGCACCAAAGAAGGTTCCCTAAAGTAGCAGTTTTGATCATGGTTAGTTTCTGACTGAGCAAACTGTCTATTTACTTCTTCCTCTGTAAATATGCTGGAAAACTCAGCTGTAAGAACAAAGAAGTAGTAGAATAAGGTCTGTTCATCAATTTTTTCCTCCATAGGTTTTTTTCCTACTCTTGTAGACTGGGGAAATAACATTGTTTAGCAAAGAAAACAGAAATCCAGCTTTGACATTTTGCATCTCACTTGGTGTTGTTACACTGGCTGAAAGGAAACCCCACCACAACCTCTCCTTAACAGCTCCAGTTAAGGGATGTGAGATTAGCCTTTGATAACCTGTACACCTGCCACTCACTGACAGTTTCTCTTGCTTGTGTTTCTCCTTTTGATTTCCCATTTTGAAGATGGAGATGGATGAATGTCTCACAGATGTGAAAGAGATGGTAGAAATCTTTTTGCCTTTGTGCCTTCCATGTCTCTCATCCAGCCTTGCCTCTTAAGCATGAGAAAATCTTCAGTGTTCTTGCAGTCAGAGCCACTACCAGCTTGAAGAAAGTGGTCTGAGCCCATTAAAAGGAGTAGGGATTTGCAGAGGCTCCACATCATAGCCTGCTAAACACCATCTTAAAGAATTACTCTGATTTTACAACAGTAGTACATCCAATGTCACAAAAAAACGTAATGGTATGTATTGACCAAAGTGGTCTGATGTAAAGTGCATCTGGATGTTCACTCTTGTTGCAGTCCTGCGAGTGAGTGCCAGATAAACAGAGAGGGAGATAATACAACAGAGCATTTCTTTAAGCTTAAGCAGTTTCAAAGAACGGTTGAGCTAAGAAGGGAACAAAGATGAGGCTGGGTCAGACCAGAGCTCTGTCCAGCCCCAGGGGCCAGCCAGCACATCAGAGGAGCCTGACACAGCCCGGGGAGCAGGCAGTTATGCAACAACTTGCTGAGAGAGAATACTTAGCCCTAAACAGCTGGGTAATCCCTAAAGCAGGAGGTTTTATCTTTCTGGGTTATATTTATTCCAGCTGCTTATGTAACACTGAGTAGCTGCAGAAAGGTCATTCTCTCACTCTTGAAAACAAACATTGTAAACAGCAGTGTGTGAACATGGTGGCTGTTGCCAAGTGTGATGCTTAGGCTGTCACCAGAAACACAGAGGGACAGGTCACAAGCAATGTGATGCTGCTTCTGGAAAAAATGCCATCCCGAGATGGTGGGGAAGTGGAAGTGGCAGCAGGCATCATGCAGAGAAATACCAGGTTGAGAAACTGGTCTTCTCTTGGAAGGCTGTCCTTGGAGAGCAAGGGCTGGCTCTGCTTAGCTATTTGATTTGGTGTTTGAATCTTTATGGATTAGCAAAATATACATACAGGGCTCTGATAATTAGAAAGCAAACTCGTGCATTCCTGGAATAGTTAGAATGAAGTGTGCTGGTTAATTTGGAATTGCTGAGAATGGCAAGAAGCCTCAAGGTCTGGTGTCTTGTTAGTAGCCACATCAGCAGCCACTTTTTGAAAGGAGGCTACAGGGGCCCTGTCTGAAACCAGGTACCCAGCTGAACCTGCACCTCACATGCTTCTTTGCAAGTGATTGATCTGTAGAAGTGTGCTGTGCTGTCACAACTTGTACACTGAAACCCAGCCACAGTGACATGAGAGACAACAGTTTTACTGATAATTTCTGGATGAACTGACATGGTTTCTCAGTGGAAGTGCAGCACTGTCTGCTTTTGTTCATTTCCACTTGAATCCCAAATGTATTTCTATTAATTAATTTCTATTATATTCAGCAGCAGGACCTTAAAAGACATTTTTTTTCCTTTCCAATTGAGGCAGGGATGCAAATATTTTTTTCCCCTCCTTCACCTATGCTCACTTTGTGTTGATTTATTTACTTGCAGAAGAAGTTCCCAATGGAGAACAGGATAATGACAAGCTGACTAAGTCTCCACCTCCTCCACCTCCACGGCGGAGTTACCTGCCAGGTTCAGGACTAACCACAACGAGATCAGGAGATGTCATCTATACAGCCAGAAAAGAGGCTGCAGCTGTCAAGGTTTGATGATTCAGATTCTAGGCAGTCAGACTGTTGATGAAATACTGGCACAGATAAATATTCCCAGGCTTGGGCTGTGTCTGTAAACCAGAAAATAAGTCAAGACAGAGCTATGTCTCCTGGAGACCTACCAAAACTGCTTAACAGGAAACATTACTGTTAGGCCAAATGAGTAAATAAGGTTTGATCAGTTCTGTTTACAGGAGTCTTGATGCTCTTATCTCCTAACAATGTAGAAGGCAAGTCACAGGCTGCTTTCATTTAGAGTGGTAAGAAGATTAAAAATAAAAAAGCCCATCCCTTACACAGATGGGGAAGAGCAGCTCAGAGTTGAGAGCATTTTTACATAAATATTGCAAATTAGTTTATTTGGGCTTCCTTTCCTCATCTGTTCTTTTCTCTGAAGAAAATGGAGGGAAGTCCAAGTTGGGAAACCTTTTGATCAGTGAACATGCTGTCACGTCAGGAATATTGGCTGCCTTTGACCTAATGAAGTATCAGTATCCTTAAAAAGGAAGAGAGACCTTGCAACAGGGGAATTGCAGTAGTGTTGAATTTTCTGTGTTTGCTTCACATCAGGAGGGTTCCACTATATTCTGTCTGTGCTTTCTCATCCCCTTGTAGGAATGCAGTGAGGATGCTGGGCATATCGCACAATCCAAAGCCCCTAAAGAGGATCAGGTGTTGTCTCGGAGCACAGGGCATGCTGTAGCATCAGCTGCAAAAGAGGAAGAGGAAGAGGAAGGAGATAAAATAATGGCAGAATTACAGGTAATGCCCTTTGGGTTGCATAAGAAGACACCTGTGCCAAATATCACTTCTAGGGCCTTGGTACAATTTATAGCTCAGAACAGGAAGGAAAGTAGGTCTGCCAGTCTCACCTGATCCCACTTCATTGCACTGAGTGGTACACATTTTGCAAGCACCACCCTAATTGTGTTCAAGATGTCTGGAGCTGAGAGAGTGCTCAAGAGTGCAGGGGTTACCACTGGAGAATCTCACACATGTAGATGATGAGTAAAATATTGGTGTGTGTTAGGGGTGGTTGTCCCTGGCCTGGCATTTCTCCATTAATACCAGACCAACAAGGTGCTGAGAGCCCAATATTTGTGTTAACATTGTGGGAACAGAGAATACAGGATCTGCCCCTAGAAGGCTGTGCTCACTGTTGTCTAGCTGGTACATTAGTCTGCCAGTGGCACAGGAGTGGTGCTCTCTTGCTGGTGCTTTGCTTGATAGCACATAGGTCAGTTTAGTTCAGTGATGGCAAAGCTGCAGTAAAAGCCAACTGTTCCAGCTACCATCAGCAAGCTCCAGCTTCCCAGGGTCATTGTCTGTCCTCTTCCATGCCCATATGGGGAAAAGATATGTGGATCAGCTTTACAGGCTATGACTTCTGTTGTTGAAGTGTTTCAGAGCACTTGTCACAACATGAGATCATCCTCCTTCTCCGCCTTCCCAAAGGTGGCTTTGCTGCTGCCCAGGGAGCATTTGCACCACAAGAGAGGTGGATCCTAAGCAGCAACTGTTACATGTGATGGGTGCACCCTGCTCAGGTCACACCCACCAGCACTTCAAGCAGCTGCTTCGCAGGTTTATCTGCAGTGATGCACCTTTGTCCCTTGTTTGTGTGTTACTGGCCAGTGTGACAGGAGATCTGGAGACAGTGAAACTGTCACATTGTCTCCTGTCTCCAGGAAAGCCACCCAGTGGCCTTGCAACTGGTGACAATGCAGTGGAGGTTAATGTCTGGAAAGTGATGGCTGAGGGGAGCTAATGACTGCATATAGACATAGTACCTCAACAGGGGATGAGTATTTAAGCACTAGTTTTGGGGGCAAGCAATGCTCATTTTAAACAAATACCAAAATATCAGGTATATTTTAGAAGGTTGATAGTGTACCATGTGTTAGAAAGGGCAAACTGCTTGATCCAGGAGCTGATAAGTGTGGTATCAGTCGTAGGCAGAATAATGGAAAATCAGGTATAGGATTCAGTCAGTGAAGAACTAAAGGACATACGAAAACAGGTCTTTTCCAACCAAAACAATTCTGTGATTCTAAACACAATATAATGGAACACAGATGTGTGAAAGCAAACAACAGTCTTTGATCAGGTAGCAGCTTTGACTGATACACTGAATCATATACCTATAAACATTTTTGTGAGTCATTGATCAAACATCATACAACATTCTGCTAAAAATCTGGCACCATGGAGTATAAAAAAAACAAACACAAAAACAAATCATAGGACAATTGAGAGCTGTCTGATTATTACAGTTTTGCCTTTGATGCAGGTGTTTATAGTCAGGTCTCACAGAGACCAGCTGCAAGCCCAATGCTACTCTTTATTTTCATCACTGGCCTGGAAATACATTTAAAATCCATACTGCTTAAATCAGCTTAATTAAAACTGGTGAAGTATAAGAGCAGGGAGATGATAGGAATCACTTAATGGTTATAATAGCTTCACTGAAATATGAAGTCCACATGAAGAACAACTACAGCCAGAGCACAATGGCATATCTCTGAAAGGATCAGGAGTTGCGGTAAGAGGTTGATGGGAAATCCCAGGTCACTGCTGTTTCCACAAAATTTGGGTCTGGTTTGGGTGTAGATGTAAGAACAGGGAGTGTTTTCTTCTCTGTGTACAGGATCAGCGAGATCAGCACTAGGCTGCTGTGTGCATGACTAATTGTCCATGTGTCTCCTGTTTGAAAAGGCTGTTAAGAATATGAAGGTTTAGAAGAGACTTGAGTACAATGTTGGAGGTACCTTCATGGGAAGGACCTTTTTAATCTAGCAGAAAAAGACATACTAGTATCAACTGCTATAGCACAAAATGTATTTGGAGACTGTTAAAGATATTTCAGGGAAAACATGATAAATAAACAGATAGCCAAAGGAAATAATAGATTCTTCATCACTTAAGTCTGAAGGACCTTGAGGATGCCTTTGCAGATAGAATGCCTAACTCAACAGCACATCACTGATCTCACAAATGGGTAAACTGAGGAAAGTCTGTACCCTGTATTATGAGGAGTGAGACTGCTTGTTGTGATAGTTATCTTAGGTACTCTGGTCTATAAACATATACAAATAGGATGTGACAGAAAACCAGAAGAAACTACACCCTCAGTTTTGCACTGGATTGTTGTTACTTTTCTCTTTTTGCATAAGCATGCAATGCATATGAAGAGTACAATATTTAAAGAACAGGCCTGATTCTAATCAGGGCTATTAATTTTATGAGAGTTGTCAGGAATTATATAATTTCCCTAAGACATGGTGTATTAATACAGCGTTGTTGCATTTCATGGTACTTTTGACTCTTTTGCACTCCTTCCTCACTCCCCAGGCTGCCAGAGCTGTCCTGCCTATACAACTCACTAAGGGCAGACCATGCCATTAGAGACCTGCACAAATCCCAGTGCTGCACACTTGGTGCCAGGTCTGTGCCATGGTGGCAGTAATGGTTCTGCTTTTCTGGATCTGGGATCCAGCTGGATAGAGAAACCCAAAGGAAATGGAAAAGATAGCAAGACATAGGGCTGAAAAGTCCAGGCAGGTGGGAGGCCAGTGGTTCACAAGCCCATATATTGGGGTCTTTCCAGACCAGGTAGAACCTGACATGGACTGTCACCATCTGGAGTATTAGTGAGGATTGTGGCGAAGACATGTCTCCAAGTTTTAGTGATGCTTATACAGCTCTTGGATTATGTGCCATGAGACTGACAGATCTGGGAGCTGAGTTGTCATCAAAGGATATAGAAGAGATGTTAGATGCCACCTTCTCTTTATTCTATGTGTAAGGCCTGCTGCTTCCACCTCTTCCTCTCATTTCTGCACACAACTTTTAGATCACTTCCAGATGAGAACATCTAGGAAGAAAATCTGTATTTCTGCTCTGCTTGTCCTAGCCAGGGAAACAGCAAATCCCTGCTAATACTTACTGGGAGTGGAGGTGAGAAAACATAAAAGAAGGACAGTAGTGTTTGGGGACAATGAATGGAGTAAAGAGAGCTGAGAGTTGGGTTTAATTTATTTTATCATGTAAAAACCTTATGTTTAGTTATTAAGTAATGTGTGGTCAAGGCCAAAATACGTCTGATTGCATCTTTGAGAAGACACCAGGCACTAGGAAGTAGGTACTGTCGCAAGCCCAAAGTTTGTCATGGAATTCTAAATTAAGTTTGGATAGTTTGCAGCACCTCTGTGTGTCTTTGTCTCCCCATCTATAAAAACAGAAGTCAAGCTTGTCTCCCTGCAGGGAACACTGAGGTCAGCATGATGAGTTAGAGTGCAGTCTTGGCAGATTGGAGGGTATGCCCTAATTCTCTTAGGCTGGTAGTCTAAAACTCATGAGCTTGTAAATAAGATTGTTGAGCTGTGAATGTTAAAAACAAACACTGTTTGTAGTTGATCATCTCCAGACATTGCTGTATGAAAGCTACCTGGTCTCCTGATAACCTGCAGTATTTATTTCCTAGGCTTTCCAGAAGTGCTCTTTTATGGATGTAAACTCAAACAGTCATGCTGAGCAGTCCAGAAATGATACACATGTTAAAGACATAAGGCCTGGGACTTTAATGCATCACAAGGAAAAGAAGGTAACATGTGGCATTTGTAAACATGCCACCCAGTCTTGGCATAACCTTCTTTCCTTCAAAACTAATCTTATATCTTACGTCCTGTTCTCTCTAACCCCCACCCACCACTGCCCACTGGTTTCCTTTTTTTTACCTCAGGATGGTTCAGAAACATGGAATGTTGTATCAATCTACATTATGTGTCTCATCAGCAATCATACAAGGGTTGCATGAAGTTTTACGATTCTGTGAAATCAAAATATTATCCATCAGTTTCCACCAGAGATGCTCATACTCCTCAGAATATCCTTCCAGTGCTGTTCTCGCAATTGACAGTGAAGCATCTCTTCTAAGCTTTATACTGTCCTGAGGAGAAACAGTAGTTTCTCTCAATTTCAAGACCCACTTTAGAGAGTTTCTGCTTTGCTTTGCTTAATCTGTTGGTCTCAGAAGTAGTTATTAGATCTACACAAGAAGTGCCATGTGTCTGGGGCCATAGCTAAGTTGGCATGAATTTCACAGCTGCTTCTGGACTGGGTTGCCATTTGAGTTGATTGGTCTTTGTGGGCAGCCAGTGTGCAAGATGAAGAAAAGATCCAATATTTCTGCCTTTCCAGACCTTATTTTAAGTTTATGAAAATGAATTGGACCATTGCTGGGCTTAGGGAGTCATGCAGGCATGGCAGCTTGTCAGCCAAGTGCCAGTTTGCAAGGCAGGGCAGTGTGGTAGGGAGGAAAACACAGCTCTTCAGCTCAGCATGTCAGTTTTGCCATGGGTTCTGTGTAGGTGTGTAAGATGGAAACAGCTGTAATACCTTCTCTGATGCAGCATCATGAGTATCTCCCCAAGGATTTTATGGGAGACATTGCTCTTCAACTTCATTTAACAGACTGAGGCAGGGAAAATTACTTTGCCAGGTCCCCAAGGCAGAGAAGAACCCAGCTGCCTTAACTGCAGTGAGCTGCATCTGCATGGGGCACTGCAGCTGTAAAGCACGAGGTGACACCCAGATGGTGGTGTCTTGTATATGATCAAAATCCATACCCCTCCCCAGACAGTACTGCTGCCAGGTCAGGGTGGTGCACACAAGGACTTGTCTTTGAGCTGCCCAAACAGCAGTTCTGGTCCAAAGCTGCAAAGACCTGGCTGGGTGAGGGTAGAAGTTCAACAGGTCCAAGTGAAAGGGAAAAATTGCTTTGTTGTGGTGTGTATGACAGTGTTATGGAGGAAAAAAAAAAAAAAGAAGTGTGAATGTATCTCTAGTTTTCTTCATTACTACTGGTGTCAGAATGAGAAGATCATACTGTTACATGAAAATCTGGGTCACCACTCCAGACACATCCTGTAGCACAAATGTTTATTTGACAGTGCTGCCAAGTAATCACCAAAACTGCCATTTCAAGAATAACACAGAGTCCAGGAAATTAAGGTTAATGAGAATTGGTTTTGTTAGCTGACATGGCAGAGTGTTTATTGCTTTAAATATGGAGCCGTATGGTCACGATGAACTCACAGAGGAAATTCTGTTGCGGTTTGATTTTTAGTAGAAGGGCAGCAGTTCCTAAAATGATATCTGTTGTACAGTGACACCATGAGATATTGCACTGATGCTTGGAATAAGTGGAACTTGCTAAGAAAGAGCTAGAGAAATGGGAACAGTCACTGAGTCACCATATCCACAGGCAACAAGTGCCATTAAATGGCTTGGCCTAATTCTGGGCACTCTGACATGTAATGGGACTGGGAGGCACTTAGCAAGTGTGGGCCTGAGGTGACCAAGAGCCCTGGTGGTTTGTTCTGATACCAGCTCTTAACACAAGATGCTGATGCCTCGCTGGCTGTGCCTGGTTTGCATGATAGCTCCTCCTTATTTAGAAGCTTCTCTTTATGTAGAAGCTCCTCCTTATTTAGAAGTATGAGGATTGTCAAGGTATTTGTGGAGCAGTTGCACAGCTGTGCCACTAATAAGCCTATGTAGACATGAACCGTCTCTGGTCCATTACTGACTTTCTTGCTCCTGTGTTTTGATTGTGTGTTAAGTTTTTCTGTGTAAAATCCTCAGACAGTATATAAGAAAATACCACACAATGTAGAACCTATACCTTGTGAATCTCTGCATGCATGGGGAGTAAATGCATTCACCAACTTGTGGATTTCTGTACCGTCACTCATTCATCTCAGATCGGGAGGGCAACTCTCATGACTGATCTTCTGCACGTATAGTCTGTCCTCCTGGTGTGTTTCTAGTCTCAGCAATGTCAGCAGTAATGCTTTTGGCTCACTGCCTTCAGGCATTTGAGGCCAGGTTAATTTCCTTCTTGGTGAGCCATCTTTTGACTGTAGATTTCTCTCTCACTTGTTCACATGCATAGTGTCTCTTCAGGTTATTCCCTCACCCTGAGGGTTTGTGTTTATCCTAAGCTGTCACTAGCACTTAAGCCAAGCCCCAGAGCAAGGCCTGGTATTACAGCATCTTCAGGGGATTTCATTTGAAACTAAAGAAAAAAGTCCCCTTAAATCTGGTTTGCTGGGAATATACTACTTTTGCGCTCATGGATGACTTCTCTGTGTCCTGTTTGGAGTTGCTTCTGTACATGAATGTAGCTCAATGGTTCATTGTGTACTTGCAGGATGCTGCAGGGTGCCACTGGTAATTCTGAAGGAGTACTTTTAAGCTGCAGCAAGGATTTAGAAATGCTCAGACTGTGACAGAACAGCCCTGCTCAGATGTGAGCAACAATAGAAGCAGCAAAATGGTGTAGTTTGAAAATCAGCTTTTACTGGTACAAACATTCCTTTCCAGGCTCACCAGACTCATGCCTTTATCTCCAGTGAGCTGGCAAGCTATAGTGCCCTGCGGGCAGCCCTTCCATATCAGGTTCCCTTTGATGTGTCCCAGCAGAACTTGATCAGATACTGTGACTCTTTTCAACTTCAATGTTATACAAACTAGGGTTGTTCTTTGCTGGAAAGTGAACATATCAAGGTAGCACTGCATTGGAAATAGGGTAATTAGAGTGCTTTTGCATATTCTGGAGGCTTTGTTGAGACTGGACCTTAGGTAACAACCCATGCTGGCCACATGCATAGCACAGAGCAGGAATGTCAAGTGCTGTTCTGCCAGAATTTGGAATTTTGCCCCGCAGAAAGGGCTCAGATGACAAGTTCAGACATGCCTCTGCAGCAGTAAACAGAGTGGTGAGTTCATGAGGGCTGCACTTCCCCTGAGAATATGATGATCAATTTGGGGAAAAAAAAAAGAAAAAAGAAAAAAAGAAAACAATTCCTGTAAAGGTAACAGCCCTGAATAACTGAGTAATCCGACTTTCCCCCTTAGGTGTATGGGGCTACAACAGGATCTCCCACAGATAGTGACCATCCTAAAGAGAAGAGGGAAGGGAAAACTGAAGAAGAATTGGGTTCTGATTCATCCAGCACAGCTGACAGTAAAATTGGCTTATCAATGAATGACAGTCCTACATTTAGCAAGGGTTTGTTTGTAGACAGTAGAGACTATTCTAAGAAAAACCTCCAGAATATAAGCACAAACCTGTCTGGTGTCAGTTTGCCAGAGGATGACAAACGAAGAGGGGCTCAAGATATTTTAGGATCCCATATTCCAGCTGTTGAAACTGGAAAACAAAAGCCAAATTATGGACTCTCACAAGATGCTGCCCAGGGCCTGACACAGGGTGAAGCACTGCAGGCCACGGGCAAGCATATCCCCATGAGCAGCATTGCCCCTCTCATGAGACACACACAGGAGCCTTTGGGGCCTCAACCTTCCTCAAAGGAGCAAGAAGCTTCTGCAGCCAACTACAGTGAAGTTGTGCTAAGATCCAAAGTGTCCAGTGTGAACAGTACTGAAGAGACCGACTCTCTGGCTGGCTCTCCAAGTGAAGACAGCCCACCCACGGAAAACATTGCCTTCATGATTACTAAAACAGCTGTCCAGGTCCTCTCAAGCGGGGAAGTTCATGATATAGTCAGTCGGAAAGGCGAAGATGTGCAAACAGTGAACATCGACGCAAGGAAGGACATGGCATCTGAGAAGGGTATCCCAGAAAACATAGACAGTGAAGAGCCTGTGGTGTGTCTGGATAAAAAACCTGTCATCATCATTTTTGATGAACCGATGGATATTAGGTCAGCATATAAACGACTTTCTACGATTTTTGAGGAATGTGATGAGGAGCTGGAGAAAATGATGACAGAGGACAAGATAGAAGAGGAAGAGGAGGAGGAGGAAAATGAAGCACATGAAATCTCTGAGAGCCAGAAGGAAGAGCCACAAGTAGCTGATGACAGAGAAGCAATCACAGAATGTTCAGCAGCTCATGGTCTCAATGAGAAGTTCATGTTTAACCTTCAGTCTTCCTCAGACTCTGCAGAAACCAGACCTCCCGCAGAGGAGGAAAGCACAAAGGCAGATTTTAGCAAATACCGTCAGATCTACGGGCTAAGCACAGAAGCCAACTTGGACTCTCCTGATCAATTTGGAAGCAGGCAGGATTCCAAGAAAAAATTTAAGTTCAAATTCCCTAAAAAGCAGCTGGCTGCTCTGACACAGGCAATACGGACGGGAACCAAGACTGGGAAGAAGACCTTGCAGGTTGTGGTCTATGAAGAAGAGGAGGAAGATGGGACCTTGAAGCAGCACAAGGAAGCAAAGCGATTTGAAATCACTGGGTCTCAGCCTGAGGACAGTGACAAAATTCCATCTGGGAAGAAAGAGGGACCCTCTGGAGCTGCAGTGTCCCTGTCTAGGACTGATGAAATTCGACAGAGTACATACCGAACGCTAGACAGCCTTGAGCAGACTATAAAGCAGCTGGAAAACACCATCAGTGAAATGAGTCCAAAATCTATCCCTGACAGCACATACAGCTCTGAGGGAAGCACTGTCCCCTTCTCTGCCCAGATAGTACCAGACACCCCACCCCGAGAGGTTGTAGTGCTGGATGAGAGCCTTGCTGGTGTAGAGCCCCCTCCGTCAATCCCAGCCACTTCACGTAAGGTACCTTAGTCCAAGAAATCAAACTTCCAGCTGCTTTCTAAAATCTGCAATAATCACCATTAAACAAGAGGGTCTTGTGATTTGTTTGCTTCCTTTCAGGTGGCTTGTTTGGGCTCCCCATGAGATGTCTAACAGCTAATAGACCATTGGGGTTTTGGTTGTTTGGTTTTTTTTAATCTTTGCTGCTGATTGGTGATGGGCAAATGCAGGGGAGCTGGGTCAAATAATCTGCTGTGTGAAACGACAAGCATCACTGACATGAAATCCAGGCTGATCAGTAGCTGAGCAGTTTTCTCCATTTGATTCTGGAAATTAACACCTGTGGTGTGAAGCTCCTGAACTTTCCCTGCATGTAGTACTGTGGCTTATATTTTTTTCGGGGCATGGTGTGCAATCTCCTCTTCAAGCACACTGGTACTGATCACAGTTTCTCCTTGTCTCCCCTCCCTGCCCCTCCACTCATTTCCACAGGGATCCAGTACTGCCTCCCAGACAAGCCGGATGCCAGTCCCCATGGCTTCAAAAACTAGACAAGGAAGCATGGAGAAAGCAGGCAAACAACACAAGCTGCAGGATCCGCGCCAGTACAGACAGGTAGTTTTACCCTAAACCCGGTGTTTGGATGGACAGTTCATGTTGTTTGCTTATTTAAAACCTCCAATAACTTGACGGAGATGATACCAAATAATGGATGCCTGTCTCTCGAGTGAGGTCTAACTGGACGTCCTGGATTCTGGGGGCATGACAATATCTACTGATCTTCTCACCATGCTTGTGCATGCATGTCTGCAATAAAACACCTCCTGCTTTTTTTTTTTTTTTCTTTTTTTTTTTTTTTCTTTTTTTTTTTTTTTCTTTTTTTTTTTTTTTCTTTTTTTTTTTTTTTCTTTTTTTTTTTTTTTCTTTTTTTTTTTTTTTCTTTTTTTTTTTTTTTCTTTTGTTTTTATTATTGTCTGGGTTATTTTTGTGTTGGGTTTTTGTGTTGGTTTCTTACCTGTGGTATGCAGCTGTAATTTTAAGATGTCGACTACCTGTTTACTTCCCCTTTGGTAAATGTGGCGGTTCCTTAGGAGAGCGGGGAATGCTTCTGTTCAAGAAGTCTGTACAGGAAGCCTTGGACACTAACCTGTTGGTGTAAGAGATGGCAGTAGATGCACATTAACTCTCCAGTCAGACATGTCTCTTCACACGTTAATAACCCAGAAGCATGGCCAATGTAGTGACTGGTCTATAACCCATAGATTGCACCTTCTCACAAAAGCTTTGTTGGCTCTTTCTCTCTCTTTCTATGCACTCTTTGTCAAGCACTTTGGGTTTTCTACCAGGTCCAGTCCACAGCTACAAGACTTAGCTCAGGCCTCAAACTGTTAATTCTTATTCTCTGTAGGGCTATTTTCCCAGGTCCTGTTGGTTTATCATATTACTGGCTTTCTGACAAACTGTCTCCTGCCATCTTTATTTGCAGGCTAATGGAAGTGCTAAGAAAGCTGGTGGGGACTATAAGGCTCCTTCCCCTACCCTACCTGCTTCTAAGATCCCAGCCTTTTCTCCCACTTCTGGGAAAAGCAGCTCAGCACCTGCTTCTAGCGGTGACAGCTCTAACCCTCTTAATCCACCTACTAAAACCTCTATTCCTTCCTCTAACCTTCTCGGTCCTCAGACAGGTCGCATAACTTACTCTACCTCCCTCATCCCCTCTGTCTCTAACGGCTCCTCCAAGTTCCAGAGCCCCACTTACCCAGGGAAAGGTCACCATCTCTCATTCTCGCTACAGACTCAAAACGGCCGGCCACCCCCTCCTTCCTCCTCTACCTCCCCTCCCTCCTCTACCTCTCCCACTTCACTGAACCAAGGTATGAAGAGCATCAGGACAATCCACACCCCTAGCTTCACCAGCTACAAGGCACAGAATGGAAATGCCGGCAAGTCCAGCCCATCCACGGCCAAGGAGCCATCCTAAAGGCTGAGCACAGCACACGCGCAAGTTCACCAAGGCTTTCTGTTCATTTTCAAAGAATCCGCAGCCAATATTTTAACCAGGGAATGTAACCACATCGCTGTATCGCTGGAGGCTTAATACTAATCACGTGCTAAATACTGAATTACTACACTAGATTAGAGTGAAGCTTTTTTGTAAAACCATCGCTGTTGTAATGGTAAAAGAGCATTTTCTTCTTATAGGCAGCACCTCTTACAAGAAAGTGTGAAGGTGTGTGAGTGAACTTGAGTGTGTGTGCACAGAGGTGTACTGAGCATGAGAAAATGTATGGTTAAAAATTTAGTAAGTTGTTTTGTATAAAGCTATTTTTCATTATGGGGACTAGAAGTGAACAGAGATATACTAAAGTGTGATTATACACAACTGTAAAACTTAAACTAAAATATTTTTCTTTTTATTTTGGTGTTATTTAGCTTTGTTACAGATTTCTATTTTTGTCAACAAATGTCACGGTTCCTTTCAAGATCTTTTTGCCAAAACATATACTATTTGATACTATTTGTAATGTACATTTGAAAGTAGTATGCTGGACAGTAAACCTCTACACAAGAAACAGAACAAGACTGGTGTATGAGGCATCTCAACCTATTGCACTGCCATTCAAATTATATTTAAGAATTTGCCAAGCCAAGGAAAATAGAAATAAATTGTTTTACACATGTAGGTAGTTGCTGATTACTTTTTTTCTTTGCTAAATCCACCCTTGTTCCTTCAGTTTTATTTTACTGAGACCTGGTAACCCATTAATGTGTTGAACTGTGGATTTTAAAATGTACACTTCTGTACTGTTCTGTATACTGGCAAACTTTTGTACATATCTATAAATATATATAAATAAATAAATACTGTATGTGGCTGGGCACATAGAGTAGTTTTACCACACCAAAGTTAATTTTTATGCATGCCTAAAAATATATATGGGAAAGGGTTGCAAAAGATGGGTATCAGTCAAACAGAAAAAAAAAAGAAAAAAAAGGCAAGAAGCTTGCATAGCTCATGGTTTTGTAAATAAATTTATTTGTATACCACCATAATGTAATATACAGAACTATGATAAGCAAAGATCTTTACAAAAATAAAGGGCTGCATGCTTATATATTTGTATTTTGTAAAAATTTTATAATGGTCTCAATTAACTGCTAAGCTGTTTGCCAGAAAGCATTAAACCATCAGGAGAAAAACTGACTTTATTTTCCTCAGATTAAAACCATAAATAAGTATTGATTTTAAAATGGGATCTTTCAAATTTACCTGGACAAAAGCAAACTACTGGAACACCAGGTTAGAAAACTAACAAGAACAAAAAAAAAGCACCACAACCTTTGAGTGGAGGTAGCCTCTGTTCCACCTTTAAGTATTCTTTGTTTTATTCCTCCTTCTGAAACAGGAACTTTCTTAAAAGTGTCACTTCAAGGCTGAGCCCTCAGGTCATGCATCCCGTGTGCAGATGTAATTAAAGAATGTAAACGTGCCCTGACCCCTCATGAGCGTGACACACACTCTGGCTCCAGCGGGGTCATGGCAAGTGCCACCCCCTGTGGTGGGTGGGCCCCAGGTGTGTGCACAGCCCAGCAGCTCCCATGCAGGCTGCCAGCCCAGCCCAGCCCAGCCCAGCCCAGCCCAGCCCAGCAGGTCCTGTGCA